GGAAATCCCTAGCAACCCGTATATTTTGTCTCAAGGATCAGTGCATATGCGACCACGGAAGGGTGGAATCAAACGTTCAATGTCCATAGTTTCGTGTAATGAGCGGGAGCCGCTGATGACGACAATAGGACGGAAGAAATGACCGAGAGATTCGATGGGCCAGGTGACATTGACAGACGCGTTGCAGCAGAATCCAAAATGTTTCTGATAGCATTTTGCTGGGACCAAAAAAGTATCCCAAGTTATCTGACGGCTGCCACAGACGAAGGTGAGATTTTTGGCAAGAGTGGCTTCCTGAACAATCCACATACGATGCCACCATGGCCGTTTGAACAGTTTAGAGAGAGCATCCATCGTTGCCTCATCGCATACGAGATTTTGCAGTGCTTCATTTTCGTGCGGTCTCCAGTGCACATCCATCGACGTTGGAAACACACCGAACGCATCCAGAGCTAAATTGCTATTTTCAAAGCTTTCACCCAGCCATGCGTCAACACCAGCGGCCTGACTGTATATTTGACCCATCCTTGTTACTTCTCGGTTCCGTTCCTCGATGTCATCTTGGTTTATAGAGATTGCGTCAACCCAAAGCACTCTTGGATGCTTAATGTAGCGTAGGTGTCGCAGTGCTGATTCCAGATTTTTCGTCACTTGATGGGTTTTTCCATTAAGCTTGATTGCAGTAGTGGATTCTGGGGACCGCCAAACATATGATAGAGCCTCATATCGGTTGGATAGTTGATCAATCGCCGAAACAGTGTTGAGAAGGCATTCTACTTCGTCCTCGAAATTGCCGGGTTGGAGTGTCACAGTCCGAAACTCTTCGGAGTTGTTGTTCAAGGGCAAGTACATTTTCTAAGGAACGGGCTAATGCTTAAGTTAAAATTACTTACTTGTTGTGTGTTTCCTGTCTTTCCTCCTTCCAAGCTGATGCCAAGAAAATGCAGGAAGATGCAGAAATATGCTATAAATAGCTGCTTGTCTCCTTCCATTGGATGGGCAAAGATAGAGCATATCTCATTGTTTGTATCCCGTGAAATTCAGTTTCATTCGTTGAGCTCTGCGATGGGTTTCAAGAAAACAGTGACATTATCACTTCCAATCTGCTGGTTGTATCCAGCATCAGATGCCCACTAGAGAAACCCCGAGACTAATTGTTAAATAAACACTGAGTCTTCACCACGTCATATTGTCAGTACAAGCCTCTCCAGGGACTTTGTCCCATCGGTGCGCCGGCACCGTTAACATCAGCCTTGACAAAAATGTGTAGTAGCTCACTTGCCAACAAGACGATAGGTGTATCTATCAGCTTTGTCGCATCTTTATCGCCAATAACAACCTTGATAATCTCCCCTAAAGTCTTAGCATCCATATTAATCGCGGTTCCTTCCGGACCCCATCGATAAGGATAGCCAACCCACGCAGGGCTCACAACTTTGTCCTCGGTCAGATATGGTGCGTTGACAAGTTGGTATTTGAGCGAGGTATTGATGGAAGGCCCTCCAGCGGCAGTAGTATTGAGGAGGTTGAATTCCAAGCCGAATGGAATCCCGAGGACTTTGCGGTGTTCCGTGTAATTTGGCCCTATGGATGGGAAGTTCGCGTGCCCGTTTAAGGAGGAATAGATGATCGGATGGGTAGTATCCTGAAAAGTGAATGATTTGGTGATGGCAGCCTTGTCGAAAACGATGTTTTTCCCGTGCTCAGACAGAATGATCGCAATCAGTTCCTGGGTCGTATTGTCAACGCGTATACCCACATATTCCCACTGTCAGTAGCAATTAGCCATCTTCAACTATCCATGATTCTCGACAACTTACGTCTCCAACATGCTCGCCTAGCGGTGCAAGGTTCACATTGCCAGTTCTTTCGACTTTGTTGAAGACAAGGCTGTCAAACTTGGCTGTCCCATGACCATTGTAGGCTGAGAATACCCAAAACTGTAAATCAGTATATGGCAATTTCCCATCCCAGAATACGTTCACATATGCCTTGGCACTTTCCATATTGCCAGGCTTTACGCTGTCTTCGATATCAAGGTACCATCTTGTTCCTTCTTTGGGACCGGTCGGGAGCTGTGTCTCGAGGGGATGAACCGTCTTGGACCCTGGCGCTTTACTTTCGACGAGCGTGCAGTGAGTGAGGAACCATTCGACCGAACAGGGGAGATATTGATCTTCTGGGTGAGTGTAGATGACAGGTCCGTATTTCTGGATTGCTGCCTCGATAGCTTTGCGCGAGAGTCCTTGAGACATGGCGATTCGGATTTCGATGATCTTGATGAGTTTTTGATTGAGATACAAATGCACATGTAGGTAAGTCTTGAGAGAAGTAGGAAGAAGGCAGAGAAAAAGTGCGAGGGCATAACAGACTTTAAGGATGAAAATTGAGGAAATCTTAGGACGGCGCTCTTCAGCTGATATTGGAACATACCATAGCCTTGAGCATGCGCCAAAGTTTGGAACAATGATCTGACTCGTCGGCTGAGCTCCATGAATTGAAACATGAGGAAGTCACGATCGATGTGGCTGGCGGCCACCCTCTCAGAAGCCTGCTGACAACCTGCAAGCAATTTTCAATATTTCAGCTTTTCAGCCCTATCGAAGCGAAACGTGCATACAATAAGATGTAGGTAACACCAACTGACAAACGCGGAATATACATGAAGAGTAGGATTATTGAATACCACAGAAAAGGTTCAATAGGGAGACTCCAAATAGATTTTCTCGTAGGAGGGCTTTGGGAGGGTTCGCAAGCCCTGTCACATCCTTCTTAAACTTAAGTCCAGTTCAAATTATTATCATCGCCTCTTCATGGGAACTCTTGTGGACTCCCGTCGATAAGACGATGAAGAGATGGATTGTCATTGACGCGTTCACCAAACGAAAGTGGGAGACGCCAACATACCCAGATACCGAGATTGGAGCGTGAACAGCAATCTCTTCGCCAGTTTCGACAGGACTCCTTTCATAACTTCGAAATGGAAGATTCGGAAAATCACGTCGAGGTGTCATTGCCGTCAGCAAAAAGGATAGCTTTAGGTGCGAAGATTGAGTTGCAACCACCGTTGTCCCGATTAGGACACGGCCCGGGCCTCATCGTTTTGATTCCGACTGTAACCTCCAACGTCACTTCGAACCCAGATCATCTCGCACCGCTTGAGAAATGGGCCGAAGAAGGATTCGCAGTTGTAGAGATACAGCTTGCGTCCATCGATTCTACCGGCAGTCCCCAGAAAAGTATTGAGATTGCCCTTGATGGTTTGAGCAAATGTCCGACCTGCGACGGGGACAAGGTAGGATTGATAGGCAAGCCGATTTGCACAGTAGGACAGAACTCCGCGCTGACGTTTTCCATGCAGTATTCGATACAGACTCGTGGAATAAGGTGGCCGCGTTTCTGCCACAATGCCCACGCATTGTAGCGGTGGTGGGATATGGAAAGGAAGCTTTGCGATATAATGAGGGCGAAAACTCGTTTCCTCCATACCTGCATCACCTCGGGGGTCCAGCCGTCGATGAGCCTCAAGAACAGAGACCGCACAAGATATTTCGATATCCTCAAGCAAAATACGCCACGTTTGCTGTCCCAGATCCAGAGAAATTCCATTACTCGTCCGAATCCATATCGCATTCCCGAAACCTCACATTTCTCAAGAAGCATATTGGGGGCCCTTATTTCGATTTGGAAGCAATATGGGAAGAGCACACTCGCTATGAATTTGCGGAGAGAAATGTAGAAAAAACAATGGGCACGATGGTTCAACAGCCATATGTCAACCATATTCCAACCGTTTGTATATCCACACGAGAGAAATATAGAGGTGCTGATAATACGGCAGATGACGGGCGGAATTGGACGGGAGAGGTTGACTAAGTTTTACCGACACCACTTCGTCTTCAATAATCCTGAAGATACTGAACTAGAGTTGGTGAGCAGGACGGTTGGCATCGATCGAGTGATCGATGAATTCGTGTTTGTCTTCACACATAACATGCAAATCGATTGGCTGTATGTTGCTCCTTGTTTTGCCATTGGTTCACTGCTGACCAGGTAATAGCTTGCCTGGCGTCCCACCTACCGGGAAGCATGTCCGCGTGCCTTTCACTTCTGTCGTCAATGTCAGGGGTGATCGACTCTACCATGAGCATATTGCTTGGGACCAAGCGTCTGTTCTTGTCCAGCTCGGCTTGATGCCGGAATATCTCCCTTTTCCGTACGCACTTCCAAATGGACAGGTACCGGCTTCGGGGAAGAGATTTGAGTACCAAGTGCCGGCTGCTGGTGCCGACACGGCGAAGAAGATTTTGGATAAGAACAGTGTTCCATCGAACGGCATGTTTGATTATCAAATCCGAGAGGTGGACACAAATTGAATAGGTGTTCCATCCCGGAATCCAAATTGCTTTGGCTTTGTGGCTTTGGCAGAGAATAGAAGTCATATTGTGAGGCTGTTTTTAAACCAGCCAGTAATCGCTCAAGCACCCAGTATCAGTAAAGCCGAGCTGGTCTTCTATGGGTTTCTTAGCACACATGCTCTAAACTCTATAGCATGCCATTAGCTCCTGACAATCTGTTCACGATACTCCTAGTACAGCTTACAGTATAACAAAAGCAATACGCAATCTCCTTAAGTTATACAATAATTGGCCATGGACGACTTGTTGTCTGAGCAAACGTCTTCTGCATCGTGGTCAGATGCTGAATCCGTTTGTATCCGTTTGTATCCGTACGGCTCCTCGAATTGAAATCATATACCGGGGGGTTTCTTGGTTGCAATTAGCACATAGAATCGATCTATTCTTTGTAACCCTCCTATCAAGGCTCTACAACGTAATCTTTTAGATTTTCCAGTGGACATATCATATGCGTGCATTTAGCTAAGCCCAGTTTCTGAGCTTCACCTTTGGGGCCCCACTACCACCTATAAAATTCATATCACTATCTTCTCCAGGTTTTGTCTCTCAACATTCCTCTCGGACTCTCAATTGAAATCGAGTTCGGATAAAGCAATCATGGCAGAAGCAGCAGGATTGAAGTCTGTGACATCCTCGTAAGTCAGATCTAGTACGCATCATAACGCGTCTTGAGATTGACTTTTTTTAGCCTGCTATCAACTGGTCGATACTCCGATCTTCAGATCGTTTGTAAAGAGAAGACTTTCAATGTGCATCGAGCAATTTGTTGTCTGGCTTCGAAGGTGCTTGCTGCTGCTGTCGATCGAGAATGGAAGGTAAGCTTGTGTGGATCATCACCGCCCCTAGGTCCATCAAATACTTACTGATATGGGCAGGAATCCACTACTGGAATCTTCGTAATGGAGGACGACGATCCAGACACCGTGGAGCGACTAATTAGCTACATGTACACGATGGACTACACGGACGGGCAACAAGTTGTGGCAATACCAACAACAACGCCGACAACAACGCCAAAAAAAATCTCGGGGCATCATGAAACACGTAAAGAAGCACGCAAAGCACCACCACGAAAGCACGGCAAATTTGGCTCATTCACAGCCCATCGATACCACGGGTCGCAATCCTCTTCTCAATAACGCCCTCGCTTTCGTTCTCGGTGACAAATACGATGTTAGTGGGTTCAAGAATCTTGCCAAAGCCAAGTACGAAGCAGCTCTCCCCGATTATTGGAACAGCGCGTCCTTCGTGGATAGCCTGAAGCTCCTGTATGAAGCCAGTCCAGATTCTGAGCGAGACTTGAGAGACATTGCAGTTAAGGCTGCCGGGAATCATGCAAGAGAACTGATGGATCATGGCGAATTCTGTGCTTTGTGTAAAGCCAACGCTGAAATTGCTTTCGACGTCCTTGCCGCATCACTGGTATCTGGGAAAACCAGAGGCATCCCTGCGGCACCCGCAGTATCCCAGCAATACGAAAAATGTCCGGTATGTGACTCTGAAGATATCGAATTGCTGAAAGCGGGCACTATGAATGCGACGATTGTGGAAAATGCTTTTGTTGATGGGTTGCGCTATGTGATACACTAGCCGGTGATAGACAAAGATATATCGTGTTATAGTGCTGAGTAAACTTTGTTTTGTTTAAGTATATTGGGAGTTGATTATCCAAGAAATCCCAAATTTCCTGCACGGCGGAAGAGTCGGATGAAAATGCTCTAGTTACACACAAGAATTTTGATTCTATGCATCTGCCCTGGGTATACGTGCCAATTTTACACTATCGCGGCCCTTCGTTCCATGTATGCAAGCAGCTCATTCACCCCTTTTGTTCCACTCAGAGTAATAGAGATAGCTTAGTTTGTTTCGAGCAAGAGTTGGGGCGAAGCTGCGACATAGCTCTGTGCGCGCTCGTCGCTATCCGAAACGCTTTAGTTTGAAGCCACGACTGCTTCTGTCCAAAAACGAATTAAAAGTAAGTGTCTGTCTTTTCATTCTGTGTTCGAAAATCTTTCTAGAATGTTGTGCGTAAATGAGACTGCATCAAAGCGCGCTTCCATCACTTCCTCGTAAGTAGCAGATTCTTACGCCGAATTTTTCTAGGAATGTGCTAATACCTCGTAGATTATTGGAGACTGGTGCCTATTCAGATCTGGTAATCGAGTGTAAAGATAAAGTATGGAAGGTTCATAAAGCGATTGTGTTGCTCTCGTCGAAGCCTTTAGATGATAAGTTCAATGTGAGTAACGTTCGGTTATGCTATATAGATATTTTTCAACGCGCTAACAGGGAAAGAAAATATCTGGTGATACCCTCGATCTCAATGAAGATCAGCCAGAGATTGTAGAGCATATGCTCGACTTTCTTTACAACGAGGATTACTGTGATCATTATGAGTCTGATGGTATGCAACCCGAGTACAATCTCAACTCACCACAAAACCCTTCACCTTATTACAGCGGTTATTTCTAACACTTAAAGGATCCGTGAACGCTCTCCTTACAAACGCATTCGTCTACATCCTAGCAAGCAAATACAGAATGGAATCTCTACAAGCTCTCGCAATCCGAAAATACGAGGAAGTCATGCCCGAAGGTTGGAACTCATATCCGTTCATTGAAAGCCTGCGGATTTTGTACGAAAACGATGAAAAGTCGGACGAGATTCTCAAAGGTGTGTCCGTTGAGGCTGTCGAAAGTGCGGGCAAGACGTCTGCTAGACATGGAGATGTGGCACTGGATGTGCTGGCTGCGCTTCTGTCAAATGGTCAGAAGAGATATAGTCAGCCTGTTATTTCGAGTCGAGATACTGTTTGGCATTGTCGGCATTGTAGTAGGGTGTATTATTGATGTCAGTATATTATCACGTTCCTTGCGGTCCATGGTTGTTTGTTTTGAGATATTTCTGATGTGAGAACCGAAGTGCTGGGAGGAAAGCGAAACGGAATTCCTATTCTCAAATAATTTGAGATGGGTCTGCGACATGATATACTTCAAGATTCGGCACAGCTTTTTGGCTCACGATAGCGGCCTAATGACACTCGCTTAAAGCGGACAAACTAACATCAGCGCGGTTTCCTCGATTCCTCTATGTACGCGTTTCACGCGCCAAGCGGATTGTCAAAGGTGAAGACCACCTCTCCCTTTGCGAAGGTATTGATCACGTCTCATGTCGTCTCATCCTTTTTTCTCTTCTTCTCTCTCCCACAGTTTTCACCAAGTTCTGTATAAAACATCACTATGTCGACCTTAACATTTGGAACACCATCGACGCCGTCGATCTCTACGATACTCGCCCAAAAGAAGACTGTTGGCTCACCAACCCCCGAAGTAACTTCACCTTTCGAAACTTTCAACAAGACTGGAATTAAGAGATCCTTCGACCAAATATCGAAAGATGGCACCTCGTCTGCTTATGTTAAGCAAGCGTCCATTTTGGCATCGTGAGTCTTCTTGTTCATGCGAAAATACACTGTAGTGACGAGGAACCAGCGGCTTCTTAGACAAGTCGTACTCCGACTTTGAGATCCGTTGCGGCAAAGAGGTCTACCCAGTCCATAAGTTTGTGGTCTTCAAACAGTCAGAATACTTCCGGAACCTTGCTGTCGACGGAACATTGGTAAGTTGTTGTTGTTGCGATTCCGCATCTTGTTACTTGTGCTCAGCAACTGACAAAGGTAGACTGATCAAAGATTTCGGCAACTCGAAGAAGACCCTCACATTGTGAAGCTCGCCTTGGAGTGGTTATATACTGCGAAATATACCTGCGAATCCCAGAATGTGCCGTCAATCAGCTCTGCAACCCCGGATGATGGAGCAGTGGTCTTTGGAGAGCCCATGTCCTTGGAGAATTGTCTTGTCAGTCACGCCAAAGTTTACGCCTTAGCTGCGAAATGGAAACTGCCCGACTTACAGAATGATGCCTGTGTTCGTTACGGATCTGCTATTGTCGCGAAAGGTTGTTGCGACGCTTTCACCTCCAGCCTACGTACGATATGTGAAACGAAAAAAGAGAGCTATACAAGCGACAAACTAGCCTCTACCGCCTTAGGGTTTGCAGCTGCGAAGTTCAACGACTTCCTCAGCCTGGAATCGTTTTGCCAATTTTTGACAGAGCGAGGAGATGTTGCAGTGGCAATTGGCAAAATGCGAGCAAAATTGGCGATTAACCTGATGCCAGTTTTACAACCCGGGGTGATGTCAATTGCGAATTGTCCCAAATGTAATGATGACTGCAATGTCCGCATATCATCAAAGAAGGAGAAGTCAAAGTTTGGTACCCCAGGAATATATTGGTGCACTAAGTGTCGGCACGATTTCTGACAATGGAGAATATTTTCATCATGTTTGCCTGCGTTTCTGATTTCGTAGCTTTACCAGCAAACATGGAAGCTTGGATGCCCCAGGAGTAATTTTGAGAGGAAGAATACATGAGTAGTGAGTTGTTCTAGTATCAGTTGTTGAAAGGCGAGAAATTTACCAAGATAGGTTTCAAAACTGATATATTCAATGTTCGTTATAGGTTAGACTTTACCATACAAGTAATTTGCTGAGATATCTGGGCTCCATAGTGGACTTGAAGACAACCTCGTTAATTCCACTCCTTCATTCATCTGATTTTTCACCCCATTTGCTCACTTCGCATTCACTTCCACATTTTGTGCTATATAAGTCATAATTCCCACCAGATCAATCCAATCTTTCTCTTCCTTACACAACAAAAGCAACATCCATCGTTTATCGATTGCTGAACACTACATCGCAGATCAACTGAATGCCCCCGCTCGGCTCATCATTCTATTACATCAAAGGTTCTCCTCCGCTATCTTACTAATTGAATATTTCGGTATCTTCAACGAACTATGGCTTCCTCGTCAAACAACCCATCGGGAGGTGTCCCACCAAACCCTCCACCAAACCCAAGCAATACAAACCATCCAAACGCAGCCCCTCTTCACACACACACTCACCAAACTCTGCCAGCTCCGGCAGCGATGCACCAAGTTGGGCCACACTTTTCGCAACCAAATACGGTAACTGCGCCAGCAGCTAGCTCTCATCAACAGGCTCAACCTGCACCCGTTACCTCATTTATTGGCGGAGCCAATTTACAGCAATATATTTCAAGTGCTCTGGTAAATCATACCACTGCTTTAAACCAGTTTGCGTCAGGTTTGAACAGACTTGGACTGCAACAACTTCAGCAATTGCAACAGGCACAACAGCAACAGCGGCAGCCTCAAACAGTTCAACAAAACGGTTCATGGAGAGATACAGCATCAGCAGAAGTCTTGCAAATCATGGCATACATGGAACACCTTGTGAAGAAATCTACAATCGAATCTGGTGCTATGAACGCCACGAAGAAAGAGTCTTCAAGACTGCTCGAAGGAATATGCTCGGCCTGGAACGACGGAGACTATAGCGACTTCCAGATAACCTGTCGAGGACACAAATTTCTCGTGCATAAGCTAGTACTTGGTACCCAGTCAGGCTATTTCAGCGTATTATTCCGAAATAACTTCAAGGTATGATGACAAGACGACAATCGTTTAGTATGAGACTGATGTCTGCTAGGAAGTAAGCACGGGCGTTCTTGAACTCGAGAACGACGATCCAAAGATCGTCCGACTCGTGCTAGAGTGTCTCTATAAGCCACCTCGCGCCCATGGCCATCGTCTCGGTAAGTGGTTTGGGGACAGCAGGTCTATTCCCAGATTGGTCGACGCATATATCTTGGCGAATAAATGGCAAATTCCTGAAGTCCAAGAACTGGCCTGTTCCAAGTATAAAGCCATTCTTGAGCAGCATCCTCTTGCTCCTGAATTCACCGAAAGCTTGAAGACCATCTTCAACCTGGACGATGGCTTTCCAGCGGATAACAATAATGGAAAGATGATAGGGGTGGCGTTGGAACACTTCGCATCAAACGATGTGGCTCTGTTTGGGGAACAGCATTTCCGTACACTAGCAGCGGAGCATGGTGATATAGTGAGCGAAATGATGAACCAGCAATTTGTGTATTGCCAAGGGAAGGCAGCTCAAAAGAACTCTCCAGGGGGAACTTCGAAGTAGGAATAAGGGTGAAGAGGGATATTCGATAATGCGGCCTATGTCTCCTAAGACACATCTCCTCCTCCGAAAAGGGTCGCTGAAGAACAAGATATCTAGCTTCTTGACTATACTTTAATGTTTTATTTTTGGGATGATTGTTGATGGTCTGGCATTCCAGCTGAGCAGCGGTTTGTGATGAATGTCCTTGTTAGAGGACAATGTTTGGAATTTGGATGAATTACATTTAGGGCACATCTGCAGAGAAAAACTGTTCTGTGGTTTTGGTCAGCAGTTTTGAGTGGCAATATTAGGTCAATATTGAGATCTATCTTGTCATATAACATATAAGATAGATAATGAATATCTATTTTGGAAAGTTTTGCGTGGGAATTAGGCTTCAAGTTAGAAAGCAGCTCAAGATAAATATGAACAGTGAGGTATTCATGTTAAGGTACTAGGTGCGTAAGCTTTGAATTTATGTAATTCCCGAGGTCAGCATAGACGACGACCTTCAAATTTTCATCTCACAATCCTTCATTCATTTCAATCAATCCACAATCTCAATTCGCAACATGAATTGAGGCTATGATGCGCGAAAATTGCCAATGCGAGAGCAATCCGAGCTTCTGCTCGAGCCTCGAGTTCGTTCTATGTTCTATTGTTTTACTCTGTACACCTGCTTTCAGCCTCTCTGCTATTGAAGCCCTGATACGAAGACGAAGACGACAAACAACGACCGCCGCTCAAACAACGTCTCAAGATGACTGCATATTGAATTTGGTGCAACCATTTACCTAACCATTGACCAAACGAGGCAATTGTCAATCCGAAGACCAAACATGGCCGAATCGATCTCACCGTGGTCTACGGAGTGCCAAATCGGAGTTCGGACTGGCTGATGCTCACCGCAAAATGGGATACGCAACACTGTCACACAACGACATCTTTGCGTAAAAGATGACAGTGAGCCGTCTAGGATACGATGGTTTGGCCGCGAAGAAGAAAAATATCGCTGTTCGGGTGTTAGGCCACGAAGAGTCAACGAGGGGCGGTCTGGAATACCATGCGAGCGGGACATCCACCCCAAAACTCTACGTTGCAGCGCTGCATGAAAGCTTATTGTTGCGATATACGAATGACTCTGCCAATCCCTACGCCCTTCGATATCTGCATTTGAGCCGCCTTCCTTTCTGGTACAACGGGTTAGGTACAAAGCTACCCCATGTATGCAACGGCCTCCCACCTTTTGCCTTGGCTGCCTCCATCCCTCCTCAACATTCGTACTCACTTTACGAAGTCGTTGATTGACTGGAAAGCTACAAATTCTTTTGCGCGATATTCATGCTGCAGATTCTTTCTGATCTCAGCCCGTCTCTCAAGCCTCACGGCGTAGCAAGAGCTTTCAACGTCATGCCTAGTTGCTCTGACTCCATTGTCGGGCACACATTCAGACGATTATGCATGCCAAGGGATTTACAGAACTCCGTATTAGTGATTGCGTTGACTTTACCAGCCTCATGGTCAACGGGAGAGCCTTGAACGTCAGACTGAAAGAGAGTTTATGTGGCTGACTAGCCTCGAATCGATGAAAAGAGCCGGCGTGCGTATCATTTTACTAATTCGAATTGGCCAATTGTCAAAAAATGTGCCAGAAGAAGCGAGAAATAGCCCCGGCATTTTACATTACCAATGCCGCTATACTTTGAACTGCCATTACAATTCTGCTAAGGGTCATGTCCGGCATGTAGCTTGATTTCCTTAGGAGTCGGGTCTCTATTACCCGACGGACTTCAGATGCTGGTGGTGTTCGGCCAAGTTACTGATAAGGAAGAGAAGATCGAATGCTGAAGTGGGATGGCTCACAGCCTCTTATATATATAGTCTTTGACATTTCGCCAGGATTGGCATTAGCACGCAATTTCTTCAGTATTTCTTGGGATCTATAGCCGCCAATATGAAAGGATCTCTGATTGCTCTGGGCTTGGCATCGAGTGTCGTCGCTTCTCCTCTTGGATCTGGATCCGAGCATATTGTTTTTCAATCTACGATTTCTGTGAATCTGGATTCAGTTCACAATGTTCATATTGACTACACAACAACTGAATTTGCTGGCGATCTTCAGATGCACTATGGAGATTGCGGTGTAACAGAGGCGAGCAACGCTCATCACTTCATCGGACGAACAGATATAAGCAAATACGCTCGACCAAAGCGATTTGTATGGATTGTTCCAAAAGATGCGAAATCGGGAGGCTGTCTTCATGCTTTCTCTGGAAATGAAATTGTTGGACGGTCAGCGCCGGTTACGATTAGTGCTCGTATGAAGAAGCGAGAGGCAATTGCGGATGTTGCTGATACTTCGGGCCCATGGTTCGATGGAGTTGCCTATATGAAATCGAAAACAAACACGGATGCGTTTGTCACCGAAGCTAAGAATAAGAGTGAGTGACATGACGTGCTACTGTATTTAAATGCTAATAATTTAGCGATCGCAATCGTCGGTGGTGGAATGTCTGGTCTCATGACTAGTTTACTGCTGCAGTCAGTAGGTATCAAGAACTGGGAAATTATGGAGTCAAGTCAACGTGTTGGAGGGTGAGCACTTGTTGGGAACTTATGTCGGAATATCACTGACTGATTTAGACGCATTCGTACAAAATATCTAAACGGTACTAAGCCATCGGATTATCAGTACCAGGAGATGGGTCCTATGAGATGTAAGTGATTAAAGATCTTTCGACAAGTACTTTTGCCTATGATCAACATGAGCTAACTCGTTTGAAGTTCCTGTCAGCATCACTTACAGTAACAACGACACACTCCAGATCAAGGATCACCAAATGGTATTCCAACTCGGTGATGTTCTCAACATGCTCAACGGCAACAACTCGGAATTGGCGGTCAAATTCATTCCATGGATCCAATCTAGTGCAAAGTAAGCTTATTGTCCAAAGTAACTGACATTAACATAAGCTAATTTAACAGTCTTCCTGCCAATTCAAACGGCGTTCGTCTTCCTGATGGCAGAATTCCAAGTGCTGCTCAAATCAGGGCAAACTCAACACTCAGAGGACCATCTCAGACTCCTTCCAATGCTACGGAGGCTGCAATTGCATCAGATGCGCTTGAGGAGTTTGAACACGCGGATAAAGCAACTATTGCTGCAATTGCCACTAATGTTTACAAGGCCCATAAAGCCGCTGAGGAAGATGGTCGTTTTGATTTCTCGGCTGCTGCTTATCTCCGTTATGAGATTGGTATCTCTTTGAATGTGACAGATTTCTTAGCCGGTGCTGGGAGTGATCCACTCTGGTAAGTTGAATCTCAGACTTCAAAGTTATATGCTCAGTACTAACTAATTCTTAGGGATTACGATACTGGATACTTCAGTGGTGAGTGCTTAAACATTGACTTACAACAGGCCTATACTGACTTGATTAGCAACCACCTGGCGAACAATTGACAAAGGTCTTGAATCTCTTCCTCGAGCATTCATGCCCCATGTTCAGAACAAAACTACCTTCGGACGTTATGTATCTGGCCTCACCTACAAACCCGACTCTAAGAAGATCGCCGTCAACTGGCGCGATGCAAGCGATAAACTTACAATGCAAGCCAAAAGCAAAGACTTCGATTACGCCGTAGTCAGCGTCCCCTTCAGCAAAGTCCGCGCCTGGAGACTCCCACGCTACTCCTCCCTCCTCTCCCGCGCCATCTCAACCATGAACTACCAACCCTCCTGCAAAATAGCCCTCCACTACAAAACCCGCTTCTGGGAACACATGTCCCCTCCCATCATCGGCGGCTGCGGCTCCACCGACATCCCAGGCGTCGGCTCCGTCTGCTATCCAGCCTACAAAATCAACTCCACAGGGCCAGGTGTCATCCTCGCATCCTACATCTCAGGCACCATGGCCGTCTCCGTCGGCTCCCTCAGCACCGCCGACCACGTCGCCATGATCCAGCGCGCCATGGTTGAGGTTCACGGCCCGATCGCCGCTGAACAATGGACGGGCAATTTCGACCGTCAGTGCTGGGAGTCTGACGAGCATCAGGCGGGTGCGTGGGCTGCTCCCTTGGTTGGACAGCAGGACTTGTATCTTCCTGCGTATTACCAGACGGAGTTTCAGACGATTTTTGTGGGCGAGCATACGAGTTATACGCATGCGTGGATTTATTCGGCGTTGGATAGTGCGGTGAGAGGGACGACGCAGTTACTGTTGGATATGGGGTTGGTGGATGAGGCGAAGAGTGTGGTGCAGGAGTGGATGGGGAGGTGGATTGAGCTATAGATTTTTGGATTAAAAGTTAATGATAATGAGAATACATGACCAAGTTAAGTATTTTGGTTCTTTTCTGGTGTGTCTCTCTTTGGGTATGTTGAGGACTTGGAAGAGAATCTGAACTTCAGACCAGGTAGGGTGTGTCTATTCATACAAATTAACGTGTTCCTTCTCTTTTGCAGTTGGTTCTCATGGAGTCTGTTAGGGGTAAGGATTTGAAGTCTAGCCTAGGTAAGGTATTTCTGCTCATACAAATTGACGTATTCGTTCATTCTTGCAGTTATTTCTTGTTGACATTGCCGGAGGGAGAGCCCGGAGTCCAAGCAAGTTGCGCTATTGCTGCGGGAATACTGTATCCACCGCCTATCCTTTACATTAATTTTCGTTCTTACAAAACCACCATCTTACATGTACATGTGATCAAATCACCAAACACCCAAACCCCCAAGAATAAGCGTACAAGCCCCTATCCCTCGCAACCCACCCTCCCCTACATCATCAACCTCTCATCCCCATCACCCCTAATATCCACCCACTTCCCACCATCCTTCAACCCATTCTTATCAGGCAACTTTAACCTGGTAACAGGCATCTACATTCCGTCAGTTCTCAAACCTCATACCCACGCAGAAGAAGTAAAAATAGAAAGATGCCGACGGGATCAGAAAGTAGAAACTAGTACTCACCCCATCGCGCCATTCCATCATGACCTCCAGTCCGAATCTAGCATAACACTCCTCAAACGCCCGACGTAGATACTCATGCTCGCTGTTGCGGGATTCTTCGAGGTTGAACTCGTCAGTTCTGGAGCTTGGAGGGCCCATGTACTAATGAATATATCAGCTCATCTCATTCCACCACAAAAAAACCACTCATTTCCCATCACAAGATTCCAACCCCTCAAAACCACCAGAGCTCAATAAAACTTTCCAACTCACACACACCCCCTCAATCCCCCCAACAAACTCCCCTACATCCCTGAGCCCCTCATAACACACCCTCGCCATCTCCACCGCATACGTACCCCGTTCCCTCCCCACACCCACCCCCCTCTCCGCTTGGCCCCTCGAAACCCCAAACCGCCACCCACAATACACGCCTTTCCCAATGACCGCCCGATCCCCCAGATCAGCCGCTTGCTCATAACACGCCATCGCGCGCTCTACGCCCCCCGAGCCCATCCCCATCCACTGCCCAACCAAACCCGCCAGCAGCGGCGCGATCACCACGGCGCTGAGAACATGCCGTTTAAATGTGACACGACTTGGTTTTTGGAGACAGTATTGGAAGAGACGCAGGAAGAGGAAGAGGGGAACGGAGTTGCGGAGGTGGATGGAGAGGGAGAAGATTTTTAGGAGGGAGGGGGGCAGGGTGTCGTATTTTGTTGTTGAGGAGGTGAAGGTGGTTAGGAGGTGCGTTGTTAGGAGGGTGAGGAGGGTGTGGAGGAGGAGGAAGAGGGTTGCTGTCTTGGATGTCATGATGGGTTAGGGTGGTGGTGAGGTGGAGGGCTGAGATAGGGGGATGAGGAATGAGGAGTTCTGATGAGAGTCTGTCAGGGGTACGTGGGTCGTGTGTTGGTTTGTCTTGAATTTCATTAATATTAAGAGCCTGATATATTTTTTTGTAGATCATCTGTCTCGGCTTCGTACATAATCGTAGGGGTTGGATTTTCGTTTGCACGTTTTCAAAAACTTGCGATCGGGACCGACTGGTCCAGTAATCTTTTGGCGAGTGGGCCCCTCCCCTTTAAATTTGGTAACCGATATATGGAGTGGCCGAATAATCATTCACAGTCTCTAATTGCCTTGGAGATTTGGCATAGAAAGATATCCTCAAAATCAAAGCGAATCATCTCAGGTTCACTGGCCAATATAGAATTTAAATAATAGGATTCTCAACGCCTAACCTATCCCAACCAACCCATTCAATCCTTCTTTACAGGCTGCTTCTTAGCTTTCACAGCCGGTAGCGAAAACACCTTACTAACACCCCCTCTCATCTTCTTCCATCCCAAAAACTCAACCTGTGGCGTCCAAGTCAAAACTCCCACCCAAGGTTGGACATTATAATGAACCTTCAACACCACATCGTTCGTGAGCGCCAACTTCCCTCCCGGTGCGGAAATTGAGTATTTAGGCTTCTGGTTCTTTAATTCGAGTTTTCCTCTGTAAATTCACATTAGCACATCCCTTAGACATATGAATCTCGCAAGCTCGCCCCACATACCTAGAAGGATCAATAGGTTTCCCCTTCGCACTCCTCTTCAACTTCTTCATGGCCGACGGTCCCAGATTCGTCAAATGATCCGCCGAAGGATTCGTAATAATCATATCCCAAATGACCGCCTCGTTCGACAGCGCAACAGACGTGCTATTCGGCCAACTCGCCGAGACGTACACAAATACCTGTTTCGTATTCCATGTGAACAAGGAGGAAAGGTCTGCGGAAAGGGAGAATCGGATTTGTGCGTATTCTTCAATTTTGTTGGAGTAGTAGTGGGGACGGCCTTTAAGACTGAGATGTGTTAGTTTGAGATGGGTATTGGGGATGGGTGGAATTGGACGTACACTGATACGTCTTTTACTTGGATGTTAGATTTTGGTGTCCGAGGTGCGGCTAGGTCTGATGCTGCGATTAATGCTGCTACGACGAATGCGACGGTTGTGAAGAAGCCAAAGACATTTTGAAGACGGACGAGGGAGGAGTGCATGATTGCGGATCGTGTGGTTCGGGGTCGACAGATTATATTTCCCTGATCATATGGCGTAGACTTGGTTCTTCAAAGGGCCAAATTATAATATTGAAGTTGTCGTGCTGTCCCCAAACCCTTAAGTTTGTCGTCATGCTCGTAGGATTCCGTCTCGAAGTTTAACACGTCTCGGCTTGGAGTACGCGCATGCGCCACACCTTTAGATGCCGGGAACGCTAACAAAAGCTTGGACTGTGGGGAGATGTGGCTGAAGCTGCAATATCCAATTCAGGTACGAAAGTATAGAGAAGGTTCAGCACAAGTATGGATTTCGTACTATAGATTATCGAATTGTCAATGTATTCTCAAGTATATCAATTTTCAGCAAATTCGTCCCGAACATCTTCAAAGCAAAACATCCCCCAAGAACTCCTTCCCAAATCCATCATTACACAAGCGTCCCATCCCATATCCCAAACACACCCTCATAAAACCATCCCCAAATCCCCAAATTCCCTCTCATCTCACAATTCAAGCAGCATTAGGCTGCACAATCGTCCCATACCCATGTCCACCACTCTGCACCCTATCACTATACACGCCCGGCGCTCTCTGCGCCACGAATCGTCCCTCTCTCGCAGCCTCCTTGCGCTCGTAATACACGTATTCGACGTAGAAAGCGTGGATGTGACCTGGGAAATATCTGGGCGGGTGTTAGTATGATATCGAGCAAGAGGCAGGGTTGGGCGGAAGGGAAGGTTGAAACGTACCCAAGGATGGTCAAGCAGACATTAATCCAGAAATCAGCACCACATCCTGCGACCATGTAGACACCAAGAGGTGGGACTGTATTTCGTTAGCATCTCCTCCTTTGGGTTTGAGAGCTGGCTGCGTAGGTAGAACGTACTGAAGATCGTAATAAGGATTAACAGAAGCCCTGAGACGGCGCCCATGATTGCGATGGTATTTAATAGATGATCTTTCTAGATGAGTTCGTACTGGAATTTGTTTTGACGCGTAGATTTGATGATATTGTATTTTAGATTCGGATTTGTATGAAGGAGGAAGAGAGACTGGAAGAGGCGAGACGTTGGACCATAATGTGATTCTTTATGCGCTGGGAGGTGATTGGCACAGGGGTTGACGTCACTGACGCGTCTCAGCCAGGTGCTCTTCCAGTGATTTGAATGGCGCTGGAGGCCTGATATAGCAACTGTTTTAAGACTTATCTGATAGGTCTTCAATTATAATGGGATATGAGGCTATCCATTAAATTTGGGAAATATAATGATGGAGTGTTGTTGGAGTCAGCACCATGCATCAAAATCGGATGCTATCTGCCACCAAATCAAAACACTTCGACAATATCATGCCACCAGGTCCATTAAACATAGTAACGCGATGGAAGTAAAACGAGACGTGCTCCATAAAAGTTTCATCGCTTACACATCAGTTGCTTTACAAGATTTAATATTAACGCACTTCTCAATTATCTAGGTCGGACACGTTGTACAGCCTGTCCACCACCAAGAGACAGCTCTCGTTCTTAGATAGCATCATTCGTATCAGTCATTCAAGTCGTAGAGACGTGATCATCATGATCCATACAAATAATAATCCAAACGCTTACTGTTGATCGTCAAGATTAAGACGGGGTTTGTGCAGCTGGCGCAGCTGGTGTAGCCCCCCCTCTTCCCCTCGCTGCACCACGACCTCTATCTCCTCTACCTCTACCACCACCTCGTCCTCTTCCCCGAGCATCAAGAGCAGCTGGAGGGGGGACAGCATTGAAGTTTGCTGGTGCGCCTCTACCACCTCTGAAACCACCTCTTCCCCCATTTGTTTGAGCTTGAGGACCACCTCGAATGGCCATGTTGCCATGAATAGCAGGACCGCCATTCTCATATCCCATTCCTCCTCGGCCGCGACCTCTATTGAAATTACCGTTACCCCTAACAAACCCGTTTTGACCTGGACCAGATACAGCACCTCTGAAAGAGCCTCTCAGAGGTGGTGGAGCTCCAGCTTCACGATATTGGCCGCGAGGTCCAGGTGAGCCATAACCACCATTCACGGTCAAAGGCGTAGAATTTGGTGCAGGCTTCTTATCTGTAGCAGCTTTTGAACCGGCGATGACTTGTTTATTCGTAAGATTTAGGACCGAGGTAGATGGAACGGTAGAACCACGGAATGGTGTACAACGATCTCCCAGAGTTGTACCACTCATAAATGTAACATCGAAAACAATGTCAAGTAGAGTAGCGCGAGGTGTTCGTGATATTCCAACTACTGTACCACGCGTCGCAATTGGTACGCGACCAGAGTCCTGGGCATATACGATTCGATCGCCAAGAGTGAATTTTTGGTTTCCAAGTCGGTGCTCTGCATCAGATGGCTTCATAAGAGCATTTCGTGGCACACCCTTCAATTTCTTGAACTCGGTGGCATTGACCACACCACTTTCAGCGGCCTTTTCGATCGCCATAACAGCGTCCGAGTCCAATTGTTCCGCATCCAAAGGAACCTTTTCAAAATTCTTAGACTCGATAGTCTTGAGCCAGGCGACAATTTCTTTGATCTTCACACTAGCTATCTCGGCAGGATAAAAGTCGGTCTCCTCGTACTCATTTCCTTGGGGCTTTCGCTGGATACCAGCGATGAACTCCGGGAACTTGGTCATGTACGTGCTCAAGAGTTCAATGGCCTTGTTGCTGAACTCCCAGCCGTTTTCGCTACGACGCGAGTAGCCCAAAACTTTGAGCTTTTTTGCCTCAAACTTCAAGTTGAGACCAACATTGAGACGCGGCAAGCCACATGCCGAGATTGAGAAAGAAGACGTGATCTTACTTAACACAAGAGGGTGGAGGCCAAGCATTTTTGCTACGGCGTAAGATGGTGTGTAACGGGTCTGAAAGCCTTGGCCGTGGACAACGTTCTTTCCAAATTCGAGTTCTTTGCCCTTCAATATAGACAACCAGATTTCGGCTTTGTTGTCTGTATGGCCCACAACCTCCAAAGGTCTGCCATAGTTGAAATCTCCCAGAAAGAATGCTCTCGATCCGGGTGGAAACTCTTCTTCAATAGGAACAGCAGCTTTCTCCAAGAATCGCTGGTCCTCACTCGTAACTTCATCAACAATGACTTGAGACGCATATTCAACATCTTGTCCCGGAATAATGGCGTATTCTTTGATGGTAGCTCCCTCGTCTGTTTTTCGTAGACCTTTGAGCATCTCTACATGCGTGATCGATTCGACCCCTCCGATGATGATACCCAAACGTTTACTGTAAGTCTCCTCAATGCGCATGGCCTTCTTACGGAAGTCATCAATCTCTCGCGGGCCATGGGGTGTTTGAACTGGGTGAGGTGACCCATCCGTTGCAGGGAAGTAGTCGAACAATTCATCCGAGACTTTGGTAACCTTTGCCTCTTGCAAGAACGGATATCCAACGTAAACCCGCTGGCCAAGTTTCATTGCAGCCGTCTTCACATTTGTTCGGTCTTCCGAATTTTCAATGGTGACCACCATGCTCTCATTCCGGCTGTCCTGTTGGAAAACATTGACGCCATGGAAACCCAAAATAGCATTATAAGGGATAGTAGCCAAGCTAGGAAAGCCAGCAAGCGCGGCATCACCTAACTTCACACCTTGCATCAAGCCTACGTGGTATTCCAACCCTTCGATGGTGGGTAGATCAAAGATGTTCTCGACACAGCGACAATGTGGGATATCCGGGAAGATACCGGTGAGAGAAGAAGGATAGACGAAGTCGATATCTGGGTCGTGAGAAAACTTGAGCGTGACACCAAACTCGTTCCTAAACTTCTCGTCATCGGTCAGAAGTTTGTTGATTGGGGCCATAGCGTCCAACAACCGCTTTTCGTCAATGAACGGAATTTTAACGACTGCTTCCCACTCCATCTTCTTACCATTCATGTCAAGCTCAAAGTCTCGTGGATAGAAATCGATGATTGGTGACTTCGGATTGGTCATAAGGTCATGGTAAACAGCAGGCACAATCTTCTTACTCCGATCTGGAAGAACACCCATAAGTTGTTCGTAAGGATGGAATGGCTGGCCCAGCTTGAAGTTTACATCGGCGCCTAGTCCTTTGATAACATCTATACATCGAATTAGCAATAGCTTATGAAGGTACAAGTCTGAACATACCCGAAATCATTGGGGAGTAGTGATACTGATAAAACCATGGCCATGAAGCCACGCCACGATAGTAGTAATAGAGAACCCATTGTAGCCCTTGAACATAGTTTTCGCACAACTTCGTCAATTCGGTCTCATTCTTACGATCCCACTCGAATTTACCGGAATAGTATTTGTCCTTCCACTCCTGGAACTTCTGCTCGTATTGCTGCTCCATAGCAACCTGCGCTTCGGCCTTCGACAGATCAACGGTCTGAGCATTGTCATACTGCTTGACTACGCGTAGTATAGCCAGTTGGGATTCCTCATCCTCATCCTCATCGTCACTCTCTTCGACCGCAAGCTTCGCTGGGAATGATAACTGTATGTGACGGTCGCCTTCGCCGTCCTCCACTGTCTTCCACTCAAGATGTAGGCTTTCAGCAAGTTCCTGAACAAACTTTCGATCTGCTGCTGGCAAAGTGGAAGGAAGATCCAGAGGCTCGGCTTCGCGCTTTGTGACGTATTTCTTGACCTGCTTCCACACTTCCCTTTGTGGAGTAGTCATAGTGATTTTCCCCTTAGGCTTTCCTTTGACCATCATGACATCCTCCTTAGCCATCTGCTTTGATTTGAACCAATTTTCGTCCGCATTTTCGGTTTCAAAGAAACGATACTCCACGCGCGAAAGCTCCTTTAGCAGCACCGCCAATCGCTCCATGTTAATGACTCCACCTTCATTAATGTATCCCGTGCCCTGCGGGAGTACACTCTTGTAAATCTTGAACATGAGCGCCAACGCTCCTTCATTAATATGCAAATTAGGAAGATTGGGTAAGAAATCGTTTCCAACGAAAAATGCCATCAGTATGAAATCGTCGATAACTCGCTCCAGGTCGAAAGCAAATCCAAGAACCCCTTCATTTTTAAGTTCCTGGAACTCCAGTTCTAGGTATTCCCTCACAATGCAAAGATGCATCAAATAGAAATTCTGGTGCTCCAACTCCTTTGATTTCGCCTTACTTTGTCTGCCGAATGTAACCTCCTCTCGCAACAAGCAAAAGTGTGGATCGTGGCTCAAAAGTCCCAACATGATCAAATCCGCATCGAGTCCATACAAACAATGTCGAACGTTAGGGTCGTAATCCGGTTGCGCTTTTGCCAATCGAATGTATTCCATGATTTTATGTTCTCCTTCTCCAGGCACCTCGTGGCCAGACAGAACAACCTCCACCCCTTGCCAATCGACATCCTCGGATACCTTCTTGTTCACAAAGTATTTCAATTGCTGGGTTAATTTGTGCATGAACGCAGTACCTAGAAAAGTTAGCGTGTGCCTACATTGGAATAACAGGTCCACATACCAGGAGTGATAGCATTACTATCAAACGCCTCCTCCTTTGGCATTTCCTTGCCTTCTTTGATTGCCTTATCTCTAGCAACCTCAACATCCAGAGCGGTTCGAAATCTCCGAGCCCGCTGTTGATTCATTTTTGCTCTTGGCGCAACTCCATCAATAGCCATAAAGAAAAGCTGCTTCGGCTTAATTTTGCCGAACAAATGCTCAATGTAATTGAAGATCGCAATAAACATCTGCTCCTCGGTCATGCGAAAAGTCGCATCGTCAGAGTCTTTGTGCGTACAATTATGAATGATACCATTCATGTCAAGATAAAGACAGTCGAACTCAGGTATGCGATTCTCCGCAATCAACTGAGAAATCGCTGGATACCTCTCACTCATCCATCTGAAGAATTTTGGAACACCCATCTTGACAAATATTACAGCGCGCGCGTTGAATATGTATGCAATGTGTTGTTCGTGGTCGAATTCGAGGTTCGATCGAAGTGGCGGGGAGACAGGACAGCCTTGCTATTACCGCAAAGGCTTGTAGTGGCGGTAGAGAAAGTGCAAAGCACTATTCTTAATCGCTTGAATAATATGAATAATAAAAGAAACTCCTGCTTCTTCAACCCCTCTTCGTGCGTCGCCGTGCTGGTGGAGGTAGATTTATGACTTTTGTGTGTTTCATTCTTTCAAAGGTCAGAGTCAGCCTCGAGTTGAATCATAGATGAACGCAGCATGGGGCCAAATCGCGCTAGTGGCCCGCGCTTCGTAAAGTGGATTTGATCGCGTCTCCTGCATCGCGAATCCTCTTTCGTAGGGCCCAAAAGCGATTTCAACTTGGATTGTTTGCACCCCGCCTGATCAGAACCTGAATTTGGAATCCTTTCCCTCTTGGCTTATCTGTAAAGAAGATCCCCAATAGGTTCCCCATCATGGCACCTGAACCTGTAGACATCGACATGGAAGGTACGCGATCGTTGCCTTTTCCAGAGGGCATTGTGATGTTAATATCAATATGTTGGAACTAACAATTCGTAGTCAACCGCACCGAGATCGATGAAGGAGATGCTGAACAAAAGATTATCAATGAAGGTCATTACATGTTGGCCCTTGCGCAAGTTCCGTGGCTAATTGCTTTCAGAATATAAAACGTGGAAAAAGAATAGCCCTTTCCTCTATGATATGATCTTGAGGTTAGTTTTGACTTGCTGGGGATTGTGAAATGTACTAATACTTCAAAGCACTGCGCTCGAATGGCCTACTTTGACAACCCAGTGGTTTCCGGACGTCAAAGAGTAAGCTTGCATTTTTACCCCGTACTGCGCTTTATCACTAACATTTCGTAGGCCGGCTGGTAAGAACTTCACAATCCACCGACTTCTCATTGGTACACATACCTCGAATGGCGCTCAAAACTATCTCCAAATCGCAAATGTCGAGTTACCAAAGAACATCACTCCCAATCCCCACGACTATGATGAAGAGAGGGGAGAAATTGGTGGTTATGGGAATTCAGCGTCTGGGGAGCAGCCAGCTATAAAAATGAACATTGAGCAAAAGATTGATCACCCCGGAGAAGTCAACAAGGCCAGATACCAGCCACAAAATCCCAACATAATTGCTACAATGTGTGTGGATGGCCGAGTACTTATTTTTGATCGCACAAAGCATAGCAGTATTCCAAAAGGTGTTGTCAACCCCCAAGCGGAGCTCATTGGGCATAAGAAGGAAGGGTTTGGTCTCAGTTGGAACCCGGATCCAGCCCAAGCTGGGAAGCTTGCCACTGGAGGGGAAGATCGTACAGTACGCTTGTGGTAAGTCTAATCTCTATATCCCAATCAACTCTGTCTCATTTAATTTCTTAGGGACCTGAAAACAATCTCCTCGTCAAACAACCACATCAAAGCTTCGCGTGTTTACACACATCACACCGCCGTGGTTAACGACGTTCAATACCATCCAACGCACAGATCACTTATCGGATCTGTATCCGATGATCTCACTCTCCAGATATTAGATGTCAGGCAGGCGTCGAATAGTAAGTCTGCCCAGCAGGGCGAGAATGGCCACTTGGACGTCATAAATGCACTAGCATTCAACCCTGCCTCGGAATTTATTCTGGCAACTGCATCAGGCGACAAGACCATTGGTATCTGGGATATGAGAAACCTCAAAGACAAACTGCATGCTTTGGAAGGTCATACAGAAGCCGTGACTTCACTTGCATGGCATCCACACGAAGAGGCTGTCCTGGGAAGTGCTAGTTATGATCGTAGGGTTATTTTCTGGGATCTCAGCCGCGTAGGCGAGGAGCAGCTACCCGATGATCAAGAAGACGGGCCACCTGAGTTGTAAGTAGTTTCCTGTTTAGATATGGAGCCCGCTAACATCAACAGGCTATTCATGCATGGCGGACACACAAATCACATGGCTGATTTTAGCTGGAATCTTAACGAGCCCTGGGTGGTTTGTAGCGCTGCTGAAGACAACATGATACAAATCTGGAAGGTGGCTGAAGCGATAGTGGGCAAGGATCTTGATGATGTTCCGATGGACGAGTTAGAGAGATGAAGAAAAGATACACCCGATATGTTCGCAGATACCCTGACTTCAAAGTCAACCGACCTCAAATTGTCATGGCCAAGGCGTTACTTTGCATGTATAGGAAAAGGGCGTTGAACGGAAATGGAATGACCCTCGAAAGCTTTTACAACTTTAATCTTCTTCTGCATTGTCTACAGTCAGCAGAAGTTGTTGATTTGTGTGTATCGACAGATGATCGAGAAAACCAGTAACTACGTCGGGGATGAGAAAATGAATAAGCCGGGAACCAACGAGATAATCTCACCTGTAGTCCTCCCGGTACGATCAGCAGAAATATAAGGCCCTCTCATATCCAAGTTGAGTTTGAACAAATCGAAACAACTTAGTTTATAGCAGAAGACATATCCGTTCCACCTTATGCATTTATACCATTAGCCGAATCTCCTTTTTCGTGGAGAGTTGTTGGCAGTATACAGTCCACCTAAATGAACAACAACTGGCTGTAATTTAATGTTTGAGTATGACGACAATTGGTGGACTCTGAGACCAGAATTGCCGGTACATCTAATTCGGGTTTGTGGGGTGAATAATGTTCACCTTTATTTACTTAGGTAGGTATCTTATTGACAATAAAACTCCACTCGCCAAATTTAGAATTGCAATTCTAACTCTTCGAGATTCTCCAACGCTGTATTATATCTAAATACCATCAACCACCAGAGTTCTAAATCAACATGGCGTCCCGACACCATCATCGCGATCAGTATTCATACAATGGAGAGTCATCCTCCAGCGGTGCTAGTCGCGACACCGCAGCAAACCACCTCGCATTTGTAGAGGATACCTCGGAAGATTCTGGACACAACCGAAATGAAGCATCCAATTTTACAGCCTTTGATCACAACGGGAGTATCGAAAATTTCGACCATCGACAGCACACCTCGCAAAATGGCCCTGCGCCCAATCAACGTCTCATATTCTCGAATTTCTCTAACAGATCGGTTTCGGGAGCTTCAAGAACATCATTTCGTTCAACGGACCTCGGAGATGCTATGGAAGGACTCGAACTCCCATCTTCGGAACATCATGGGGATGAGGAGAAGACTGAGGAGGAAATGAGAATTGAGTATGAGGCAGAGCTCGTTGCGCGAGAACAAGCACGGGAAAACATCACCGAGGACACTCTCGAGAGCTTTGGAATTGGCACAAGTAATACTTTCAACGGCTACGGAATTGACTTTGACGCGTGCGATCCTCTCTCAAGTGGTTCAGAGGATGAATACTCTGACAGCGGCATGTCAGACCGAAGTGACTTCTGGACTTGCCGACCGCTAGCACCACAGCTTGTCAATCCGCGAACTCGATCACGGAAATTCGATCTCTTCGACTCACTTGGGAATTATGCCGAAATATCCCTAGCAATCGCGAAACACCTATCCATCCAAGGCTTCCTACATCTTTACGCCATGTCAAGGGACTTCCATGATGCGGTGGATCAACATCTCACGTCTTGTGTACTCGACAATGCGAATAATATGGCGCCTGAATCTGCGAGAATATTTAGATTTACAATGTACGACAAACTCCTGCTTCCTGATCCCGCCGGGCGACGACATCCAACGAGACCAAAAGAGATCCGGCGGGTCCCGGGGTTCAAGTACCTCCAAATGATACACCATCGAGAGAAGACTGTTCGAGATATCTTAGCTTGTTTAGCGAGAGAGGGACATCGAACACCGCAGGGCATGTCTTTATCTTTGAAGAAAATGTGGCTGCTGATGGATCTTTCTACTACTCGACAGCGAGTTATGTTTATGCATTCGCGGAAGTTCTTTACGGACAGGGATTTATATAATATACAGCTTTTTATCGTGAAGCTTGATATGCGGTTCAACGATCCGATTGAGGGACCGGCTGAGGATGATATACGCAAGCTTATGCTAGGTCAACGAGGCTTGACACCGCTTCGCAATCTTCTGAGACGCAAGGACTTCAAAACGTACGAGGAAATCATCAGATGTCAAGTCCGCTACCAATGGAATCTTCGGCCTCAGGACCGCGGATGGCCGATTTTTGGCATCAAGCCTTCAGAGGTTGGGATTGGACATCTGGAGGGTTGGGGCCAAGGAATAATACATTTGTTGAGACCAGATGAGTTGGTAGTAAGAGAAGCTGTTAAAAGAGGGTTGGATTTGAAGAATCATATCATGCTCATGATGCTGTGGGGGCATGTTGATTTGAAGACTGGAGAGAATATATCTGCTAGTGAGGAGGAGAAATATATGTCTGATGAGGAGCCGATTAGTATGAAATATAGATGGAAAGACGATGAGGATTATGACTCAGCATGGGAGGAGGATCAATTTGATATAAATACGACACCTACGAAGACGAAAGAGAAGACGATCCAGGAGTTGATTGCTGAGAGCTCTCCGCGAAATATAGAGGAGGAGGTTGAAAGAATCTTAAGGAACAGAAAAATGCAAAATATGGGGATGAACGCTGTTACAAACAACAAAAACACACCACCAATCGAGAATACTCGCTTCAAAGAGCCAGCAATAAGCACGAAACGATCTTTCATGGAAGCCAACGACGAAGGTGCAAACGAGGTGGATTCAGATGCCGACTACGCGGATCCTGATAATGCTATACATAACATGGCTGACGATGAATTCGATATCCCAGATAGCCCCATCAAGAAGAACAACAAAGGGAAAGGGCCAGCTTCAGATGACGATTATGCGGATCCGGACAATGATATACATGATATGACTGATGGCGAGTTTGATATTCCTGATAGTCCTGTTAAAAAGAAGATTAAAGGAAAAGAGCGGGATATGAGTAGTGCTCCTTTTCAAGGCTTTGGTGGGAGTATTAATCAGACCTTTTCGAGTTCAAATACTGCGAGTATTCCCGCGCCGAATTTTGGTATGATGAGTGATGCTGCGCGACGAGGCCCAAACCTGGAATTTAGAACTCTACAACCAGCGCCCCAGCCAACACCAGATATGTTCAGTGGTCTAGGTCGGATGGCGGAAGCTTTAACGAATACAATCTACACTGAGACTCCTCCAAGTATCACAACATCCAGTGATTCATCAGCGTTTACTGCAGGGCCCTCGAATCCACCTCCAACTCCTAGACCACCACAGTCATCATTTGGAGGATTTGGAGCACAGCGACGAAATATTGCAACATCTAGTAATCCATCAAGATCCATCGCAGGACCATCGAATCATCCTCTAGCACCACGAATACCTCAATCATTGTTTGAAGGGTTGGGTTCTGGGCCACAGAGACAGCGTGAAATGGTGAATTCATCAAATGCGGAGGAGGATGAGGATATGGAGGATGGTATAGAGGATGAAGATATGAGAGATGGGGAGGATGGTATGGAGGACTAGGTAATTTGAGAATGCAGTTTGATACATCTCTATTTGATGCTTCCAATATGAGAAGGGATCAAGATTAAATACAACACAGACTTGTGACTGTGGAAAATATTTTAGAATGTTCCTAATACGGGCACTCGTTGCTATTTGTACATACAAATAACAAAAGACATATGGATTAGTGGATGATGGATGTCAACCAAGTATTGTTCACGTATAAGAAATAAGAGAAATTTAATCCAAAATAGAAATGACTATACTTTACTACTTTCCAGCTGATGTTTCACTTCTGCATCCAATCATTTTGACCATGCCCATATATCACCTTCCCCAGATTCGCAGCACCGCACATCAAATCAAGAACCTCACAAGTACTGACCTCAATCATCTCCGAGTCACCGCCATCGTAAATCATTCTTAAGGCCCACAGATGACCCCGACCGGAGACGTAATCAGCACTCTCCAATTCTGTACGTATATATTTACGTGCTGTGCTGCCGAGCGAGGCTTGCCGCATGTTTTGAAACAAATCACAGCACATCGATCAGTTTTTGGATGTGGCAGCTCCGATCCCGTCGGGTAGGTCTTGATGCGGATAGGGAGGTGAGTGAGATTGCCGATGGCGGTTGTGATGGATGGGAGGTTGTGGGACGTGGGTTTGGGGATTTGCTTGGTTGGGAGGGAGGGGAGAGTCGGAATGGGGATGGGGAGAGAGATTTGTGTGGGACGAGGAGGTGGAGGAGGAAGTTTGGTTGTTGTGAGTTTTTGTCTTCAGATGCACAATTTGGTGGTTCAAGATTATCAAATTGATGTTTGGTTGTCTTCGAAAAGGAGTACCCGTCTTGCAATTCGCAGACTTCCTCAAAGTTATACATCACTAAATCGGCCGCTTCCCGCAGTTTGCACATTACGGTCACAACGGCTGAACTGCATCGGCAGCCGCCGAGTCTCTTTCAATTGGCTGTTGAGATGTTTGACTCGAATATGGTATTGAATAATCCTTGAAGCAACGGGAGCGGGAAACATCAAATACCGGGTGAGCACCATTGCTTTTTACAGAACTGGATCATTTGAGGCTCGTGGCTTTCACGCTTTCACGTTTTCGGCATGCTTCTTGAGTACGTCGTTGTGAGGTGTCGAATATCGTGTGTGATACGAGATTGTGTACAGGATGGAAGTTGTGGAAGTATCGGGTTTATTTTGCTGGATGTGGTTGAGGTGGTGCTGAAGTAACCTTACCGTTGGAAACTGGTGTCGTTGATACTCGAGCATATCTAGCTTCGTATCTAAGCAGGTCTCTCGAAGGCTAGTCTAGATTGCTATTCCATTATTCGAGCAGTATGAAGCTTTCAAAGATTCAAAGAAGCTTCTTGCAGCTATATCCAATATCTAGAAGCTGTTGAATTACCATTTGGCATACTGGTCAGTGCTGCTCAAAGTACCGTCGACATCCGGTGTGCTTCGTAGGCTTCAGGGGTAAATACGACGTTTATGAAACATCTAACATCCGAGTTCGTGGTATATGATAAGGCAGACTCGTGGGGGCATCTTAACCGCTTTCGAAGGTCGAAGGTGGTGCTGGTAGTATTCAGACGATATCAGTATCCCGTACGAGTATCGAACGGGTGTTTGGAAATTCTTTTTAAAATCTCTCAAAAGAACAAAATAATGAGGTTAACGTCTCCTAACGGTTACAGCCGTAGCTTCGCCTCGCATGTAGCATTTCATAAAAAGGGACCTGCGCCGGGTTGGTAAAAAACGTGGTTCAAACTTTGGATGGCGTTGACGACTTGCATTGTGGATAAATAGTGACCCACCACGAATAAGTACTTGGCAAGGCTAAATATATAGTTGCGAGTAGGTCGAAGGTGATCACTTGGATGCAAACAATTACACCTCCTCCAGACGTCCAAAAATTTGACTGAAAAGACACCAAAACACGACTGCATTCAATTAAATAAAAATACGGACCGTTTTATTCAATACGTAAATCACACCGATTTTATAACTATATCCAAGCTTCCGCACTGTCCTTTCGGTAAACCACCTCTTTCCGATCTTAGCGGCAAACCCCAGTCGCCGTAATTTGCCCGGCAAGAGAAACAGAGTGTTGATGAATCCACCTCCTTTTATTTTTCATACCAAACCATAGGAGGAGTAGAAAGACTATCCCCTTCAAAAGTACAGATTTCTGGTGTTGTGCGTGAGCTTCAATAACCTCCTGTTCTTCTCTCCCTCCTACCTCCGCCGTCGCTCTCTCCCGCTTCTCTCCCGCCTCCAACAATTTCCTCCATTCTACCCTCGCGACTCGATTTCGATACTCCCTCAGAGCGATCTGCGAGTAATCAACATTCACCAAGGAAGCATGTCGTCCAGCACGCAGGGTCAGCAAAACCTTGATAGATATGTCGTTATCCACGTCGCAACCACTTGTGACGAGCATGGAGTGTATGTGACGAAGGATTCGGCGGAAGTGATCGAGCTTGGGTGGATCCTCCTGGATGCTAAGAACTGCGAGGAGGTAGGTTCAATTCCATTTTCACTACATTTTGCACCATATTCTTCCATACTGACTGCTTCATGTAGCTCTACCGCGACTCCGTGCTTGTCAAGCCTATCAACACACCCATTACACCGCTTTGCAGTAAGTTGGAAAGGAGATCTCAAACACATATCACGGCGGGCTTAATCACACACGTTGGAAGGGGATTGATATACAGGGGATTATCGCTGACATGGATTTTCTATAGCTAGCTTGACCACTCTGACTTGGGAACATGTTCGCAATGCTGGCACCTTTCGTGACGCCATCAACCGTTTCGACGCCTTTGCGTCGGAGCATCTGACATCACAGAACCTCGACTTTTCCTTCGTTACCCTCGACTCTTGGGACCTCCGTGTGCAACTTCCCCGCGAAGCTCGCGATAAAGCCGTGGTGCTGCCACCATATCTCCAACACTCGAGAACCTTCGACCTCCGAACCGAGTACCAGCGATGGCAACAACACCATCCAGAGTCTCTGCCTTTTGGACCATCAATGTTGTCCAATATCTGCGCAGCTCTGGAGGTTGAACCGGTTACAGCAAGCGCTCCAATCAAGCACAATCTTCCATTCCACCTACAGGCTCTTGCACCTGCATCTCCTCGTAGAGCCATGGAGGAAGCAGTCACCTTGGCACGAGTTCTTCGTGGCCTTATCAGAAAATCTCAGCCTCCTCATGAACACCCGGATGTCCTCACTCGGCCAATGGACGCTCGGGCCGACGTTAGAGCTTTCTTGTCAGAACGCAGCAAAGTACTTCACATGGCAGGTCTTCCTCACGATACGACACAGTCCGAGTTGGAGAGCTGGTTTACTCAATTTGGTGGACGCCCAATTGCATTCTGGACTCTGCGCACCCCAGACCAACATAAACCTACAGGTTCTGGATTCGCCGTGTTTTCCTCGCATGAAGAGGTAAGCCTAATTCCTTTCACTTCTCTCTCTCTGTATTGTTCGAACTGCGTATCATACCAGAATGTCGCTCCTGCGCCCTCTGAGCATATTTTAATACTTTTATGACAAAATCATTCAACCTTCCCTTCCGGCTCTCATGGAACTCTCCCTTTACCAAGATCATTGTCTAACACCATTTCAGGCCGCAGAAAGTTTGTGCATGAATGGACGTGCTCTTAATGAGAAGGCTATCGAGGTCTCTCCCTCATCTAGCCGTGTACTTGACAGAGCCGCAGAAATTCTTACTCCATTCCCACCAAGCAAGAATCGCCCACGCCCAGGAGATTGGACTTGCCCCTCGTGTGGTTTCTCCAATTTCCAACGCCGAACGGCTTGTTTCCGCTGCTCATTCCCGGCTATGGGCGGTGGGCCGAGTGGTGATTCTATGGGAGGTTATGGTGGTGGTGGTGGGTACGGTTACGGACCTCCAGCCATGATGCCACCTCCTCAACACATGGGACACCATGGTGGGATGGGTGGTGGCCACGGTGGTGGTCGTATGGGTGGTGGTGGTGGAAGTGGAGTTGTTCCATTCCGTGCTGGCGACTGGAAATGTGGTTCAGAGGGTTGTGGTTACCATAATTTCGCTAAGAACGTAAGCTGCCTTCGTTGTGGCGCTAGCCGTGCGGGTGCTGCCGTCGTGGCTGACTCCGGATATCCCTCCCCAATGGACCCTCCATCGAACTACGGTATGGGGCCTGGATCTATGGCAGCTACACCTGGGCCTGGACCTTTCGCAGCATCAGCTGGAGGTTTCGGATCTTCTGGTGGATATGGAGGTCAGCACTTTGCCGGTCCTCCAAGCACATATGCCCTTCCTTCCGGCCTTGGAGGCAACTCATCTGGACCATACCCATCCCTTAACACTCATTTCGGTGGCGGTCCTTCTGGTGGCGGTGGAGCACAATCTGCTGGACCTTTCGATAGCCGCGCTGCTGAAGCAGCTTTCCAATCTGCCAACAACGGTCCAGCTTCAGCCGGGCCTGGTTCCAACCATTTCTACACCAGCCAGAGTGAAAGCGACCCTTTCGCTTTCCTTTCTTCAGGCATGGGTAACTTGAACATGGGCAGTGGTGACGCCCGTCAGAACGGTGGTTCTGCTCAACTCAGCGCCCCAAGCAAATCGCCTGCTTAAGCGCGACATTTTATTTTTACGCCTACTTTCCCTATTTCAACATATACATACGGTTCTGCTTTCTTTCACGACTGTGACTATACTTCAGGACGGCTTTGGGGTTGAATTGAAATATAGACATCATTTGTTCAGAGTTATCTGAGTCATTGCGAAGCGCTGTTGCGAGGGCATTGGTTCGGCATGTAGGTTTGGTGGTCGGTTGGCATACAGAAAAACGGAAATGGAAAAGTCAAAGCAACACATCGACAAATCTCATATATGGAGAGAGCAAATTTGGCACCAAAGGATTATGAAAGCGTTGGAGTTTTTTAATGCGGATGGGAATGGATATGAATCACTCAGGATGGTGTCGTTTTCACATATGGAACCTGGCGAGGTGGGATAACTTAAGTTGTTTGTCATTGTTTTTTATTTTCCTGAATCTGGAGAAACTTTGCATGCGCTGAGGTTACCCTTTCAAGAGAACAAAATAGTTTTGTTGTTATGGTGCATAGCGAAGGGGTCTGGGGTCTCGCGAAAGGGGGGTCTGGGTGTCGTCTACCTATCTAGTCTGCTTCTTCGAATTCCGCTGTTCGGTTCTTATGCGCATTGAATCTATTCTCGTATACCGTACATTGTACCATTCTCGAGGGGTTCTCTTTCGATCGGAAATTGTACTGTAACGCAACCGAATATCTCGTCCTCACTTTCGTCCATCGCCCTTAGGCCGCTTCGAACCGAACCGAACCAAAACCTCGACAACCCTCGATGACGTCGACTACTGGAATTAGTATGGGATGGGATGGGATATGGGATTATACTGCGTGGTTGTGTCGGATTCCAGCGGCTTTGTTTTCTGTATCTTGATGTTGTCATACTTTCGTTGATATTATATTTCTTCCACATCTCTGTTTCATAAGCTCTTCCATTCATCACTGTGTTTCAATTTGTTTCCATGGAAGGAAAGACGAGAGGGAGGATAGGGGGTTGTTGATTTAAAAAAGACTGTTAAAGTGTTGGGTTGGTTGGTTGGGTTGTGTGAGTTTGCAAAATTGGATTGGGTTAGCTGGATGGGGTGTAGGCCTGGTATGGTGTTGATCGATTATGGAAAGGAAAGATGGTACACTGTAATGTTGTTTCGGGATTGGGGAGTGGGGTTAGGGGAGATTTGTGTTTATTACTTCTTTGTTGTTGTTTCTTTCGAATTTACTTGTTTTCTTATGCTTTTCTTTCTTGATATAGCCTGGGTGGTGAGGGTGGAGTAGGGGATGTGTAGTAGATAGAAATGTGGGTGTGGGAAGGAGGATATATCGTCGAAGTAATTACATAGTTTTTCAACCCTCTTCCCCTCATCATCACGCTGCTCATGTGCCTACAACTTCTCCCGTCCCCCGATATCTTCAATCTCACAAACCATCTCCCCACCCCCAACACCCTCACCCTCCTCTACCTCACACACCCACACCACCCTTCCTCCCTGCCCCTGAACCCGTATCTCTAACTCCATCTTCATCTGCCGCACTACGGCTACTACGTCGCCTTCTCGCACTATGTCGCCAACTGAGATTAGAAGCTCCATTAAGGTGCCTGGGAAGGGGAAGAGGATGTGCGACGGGTTTGAGGGGGTGCCGCGGCGGTGGGAGGTGAGGGTTGGGGAGGGGGAAGAGGTGGATGTTAGGGCTAGGTTGTAGGGTTGTGGTGATGAGGTGAATTGAGAGGTGGATTGCGGGGTGTAGAGGATTGAGGCGGAAAGGGAGTCGGGGAAGGCGTTGCGGGATAGAGATGTTAGTGTTAGGTGTGAGAGGATGGGGTCTTTTAACTCTGAGGACTGGGATGTTAGGGAAATGGACCAGGCGTCGCCTTTTTTAAGAAGGATAGTTGAGGGTGCTGTGGTGGTTGTCGCCGTATTTGTCTGTCTTGGTGGTGGTTTTGGTGTTAACATCTCTCCGCTTTTTAGTAAGGAAGGGAGAAGAGTTTCGAGCCATCGCGTATCGCATTTTCCATTCTCGAAATCTGGGCTGGCGAGGATACCGCGGAGGATGTTTAGGTTTGTTGTTATGCCTTCGATCCAAGTTTCTTCTAGTGCTCTTCTTGCTTTGGAAACGACGGTTTCCCATGAGTTTCCTGAAATTACGAGTTTTTGCGAGGAGACTGTCGAAGTCTGTTCCTATCACGGCTGGATGGCCGCTGGTAAGATGTGTATCGACACGAACTCCATTTCCCATGGGGAAGCCAAAACCCTTAATCTTCCCCACGCTCAAAGCCCAGTTGTTAGCCACATCCTCCGCTGTAACCCTTAACTGAATCGAATACACCGGCGGAGGCACTTCTGGATCTTGCCCCAAAAACCTCGGAAACACATCTTCCAACCTATATCCCTGCGCAATCAAAACCTGCAACCTCACCAAATCAACCCCCAAAGCCAATTGCTCTGTAACAGTATGTTCAACCTGAATCCGCGGATTAACCTCCAAGAACCAGTACTCCTCTTTCTCCTCCGAAACCAAGAACTCAAAGGTTCCAAGACTCAAAAACCGTACCTGTCGCGCCATCTTCAACGTCGCTTCGATCACTTTACTCACTAATCTCCGGTTGGCGAGTGAAGAGGGAGCGAATTCCACGACTTTTTGAAAACGCCGCTGGATGCTGCATTCGCGTTCCCATAAGTGTCGGACGGCTCCTGTGCCATCGCCGATGATTTGCACTTCGATGTGGCGGTAGCCTGAGATTGCGGCTTTTTCGGCGAAGATGAGGGTGCTGGGACTTTCCTTCAGTGCTAGGGACACGGATCTTTCGAGTTCGGAAGATTGATAGACGATACGAATCCCGCGACCGCCGCCCCCGTCGACGGCTTTGACGACGATCGGGTATCCGACTTTTTGCGCGAAGGTCTCTACGTCTGAGGGGGATGAAGTCGGGTTTTGCAAGGCCGGAAGAACGGGGACGTTGCATTCCTGAGCTAAGGCTCGGGCTTGCAGTTTATCGCCTGTTCGGGAGAGGATTGCTGGACCGGGACCGATGACATGGCAGTTTGCTTCTGTGAGCATGCGTTGTGAGAATTCGGCCGATTCGGAGAGGAAGCCGTAGCCTGGGTGGATGGTGTCGATAGCATAGTGTTTTACGAGGGTGATGAGGTGGGAGATGTCGAGGTAGGAGGAGGGAGAGGGGAGGGCGATGGAGTGCGTTGAGTGGTGCGTGTGAAGGGTGTCAGAGGGGGTGTGGAGGGTGTAGGTTGGGATTGAGAGTTCGCGGGTTGTTGAGAGGATTCGGGTTGCTATTTCTCCCCTGGGTGGGTTGGGTGTTAGCTTATATGATTCGTGTAGCCCTTATCGGAAATTTATATAGAACAATCTTCTCGCTTCCAGGCTGTGAGAAATGCCTTCATAATGTTGTTGAATGAAATGAATGATGAAGCGACCATCACTTCTTTTAAAGAACTACTTTTGAGTTGACTCATAAACGATCACTTACAGCAAAGAGAAAATGAAGAATACAATTTGTAACGATTTATATGAGTTGAAGCTAGCTTACCTATTAGCAATAAGTAATCGTTTGATCGGTCGAATCTCCGCCATAGTCTCTCCTTCCCTTTGACAACCAATGAAATTCCTTGATGAGGGGCCAAGAAGCTCTGCGATTTCTCTTTCTCTTTCAAACTCTCTCTATATAAGCCGTCGGAGGAATAAATTCAAACGACTTCTTGTATCTGCGGTCTTTCTAAGTTGTCGCTGTGGTTGAGGTCGAGCTAGCGTCGACTACATGAATGAGCCTCGGCTATCTACCCCTCAACTATCAACTATCAACAATCGTGGTTTTGAATCATAGTATTGTAACAGCAATGTTATAAACCAAAGAAATCCGATATCTAGCCATTTAGTTGGGACAATCTCCGACAATGGGGAATGGAAATGAAAATAACACAAACTCATCTAACCCATCAACAAGATTATCTCAAGTAGCGTCTCACCTATCGCCAACCCCAGCAAAAAAACGCAAAAGCCCTCGCAATAAAAAGGATGAACCACCAGCAGATTACTCAGACATACTGAGCCAACTCAAAACCCTCAGAAAAAAAGCTAGTACGCCGGACATCAACAACAAAGGCTACATCCGCCAAAAACAAGCCGGAAAGCTCTGGGTCCGAGAACGCGTCTATTCCCTCCTCGACGCCGGAAGTTTTCAGGAAATAGGCTCCGTATCAGGGACCGTGACATGGAAACAGCTTTCGCCAAAAAAGGAAGAGCCGATGGATTTCGTGCCAAGTAACAATGTTCAAGGCTTCGGCAAGCTCAATGGACGGAAAATTGTGTTTACCGCGGATGACTTCTCGATTCGCGCTGGTCATGCGGATGGAGCGTTGATGGAGAAGACGATTTACTTGGAGAAACTCGCTGTGTCGCTGAGATTGCCAATTGTGAAATTAGTAGATGGCTCGTCGGGCGGTGGGAGTGTTACGACTATCAAAACACATAGATTTTCGTATATCCCGCCTATGCCATCATTTAAACACGTAGTCGAGCAGCTTAACCTCGGAATACCAAATCTCGGCGCCGTGTTGGGTCCAGCTATAGGCCTCGGAGCAGCTCGAGTGGTGAGCTGTCATTTCTCGGTCATGGCTGCGGATGTTGGCTCGTTGTTTAATGCTGGACCGAAAGTTGTAGCGGGAGCTACGTTTGAGGAGGGCTTGAGTCTGGCTGATTTGGGGGGGCCGGGGATACATTGCACTAATGGGACGATTGATAATTTGGCGGAGGATGAGATGGGGTGTTTTGAGCAGATTAGAACGGTTTTGTCGTTTCTTCCTAATTCGGGGAGTTCGTTGCCGCCGGTGGTGAAGTGTGAGGATCCAGCTGATCGGTTGTGTGAGGAGTTAAGGACGATTATACCGAGACGGAAGGCGAGGATGTATGATCCAAGGAGGATCATAAGGTCAGTTGTTGATTTGGAGAGTTGGTTCGAGATTGGTGCTCTATGGGGAACTTCTGCCATTGTTGGCCTGGCTAGACTTGATGGGCGACCGGTGGGGATCATATCCTTGAACTGCGAAGTTAACGCCGGCGCTCTTGATGCTGCTGGCAGCCAGAAGATCACTCGTCATTTAAAATTCTGCGACATTTTCAACATACCTATCCTCCAATTCGTTGACGTGCCGGGATATGCGATAGGAACGACCGCAGAGAGAAGTGCGACCATGAGACATGGTATAGCACTCGCAACAACCTATTTCTCCACCACCACACCGGTGTTCAGCGTTGTAACAAGAAAGGTGTATGGAGTAGCAGGAGGAATCATGCTTGATTGCAGAGACCCTCGGATGAGAATTGCATGGCCAAGTGGGGAATGGGGAAGTCTCCCGCTGGATGGAGGTATTGAAGTTGGGCATGCTGCAGAATTAAAGGCTGCGGAAGCTGCTGGGAAGCGAGAGGAACGGTATAAAGAGTTGGAAGAAGAATATACAAGACTAATGAACCCTGTTCGTACTGCTAATGCGTTTGGAGTCGAGGAGATCGTGGATCCTGCTCTCACACGACAAATTGTCTGTGAATGGTTGAAACATGTGTAAGTCCTGCTTTGGTATGCTTTTTTGCTGTGCTAGTATGCTAACTCTGCGATAGATATGAAGAACTGCTTCCGATCCGCTTGGTAGAGCGGGGTATTGGGAAGATAAACCCGATTTTTTATTGAAGAATATAATTAATGACATACGGAAAAAAACCGAGAGTTCGAATGTCTAGAATATGGACGTGCAGATCTCTTTTGATCTCAAAGGCTTCACAAACCCTGTCCCGACAAAACCCCCTTGAAGGAAACACACATTCGCATTGACTTGGTATGCGGCCGACAAGTACAATACCTTTCTTAGCCCCAAAATAAATTCGGTGATGCTCACGGCCGTCCAAATGAGCATACTTGTGAATGAGTTGGTACTTGCCACCGCTTGTAGGTTACTGCCACAATAGCGGTCTTTGATTGTAACATGAATCTCGAAACACTTCTGCCGACTGGTTCTTAAAGCCTTCAATGGACTCGTGCGATCTAAAAGTTTCATTTCAATGTCGCTGTACTACCTCCCAATATGTTTCTCACATAAATTTCCACCATAGACCAATTGTCACAGCTAACACGGCAGTGCCTACTAACATCACATTTCTGAGAGCGTTGAACAAGCTTCTCCTCGTGATGATAGCAATTTAATCTTTAAGCGCAGCGGACTCGTTGATATGTGGAAAGGGCTCATTTGGAATAGGCTTGCCGAGAAATTCACACAACGGCTCCCATCCACTTTCTAGCTCGTAATTGAGCAGTCTTTTAGGGGGTGTTGCGGCTCGTATGGCATCATAGTGCGCGTAGTAACTTTCTCGCAATTTCGCCTTCATCTCCCCTCTACTTGTTACATGTTTGGCTTTGGCGATCATGTTTGAAATTCTTGTCATCCGACCAAGACATTGAGGATCGAGAAATGCAAGGACATTGTAGACCGGATTCCACATAACATCAACTAGCGATAGAAAGCTTCGTTCCCATGCTTCGAAATCTCGTTGCACAAGAATAACTTTGGCATCGGGATAGGCTGTGATGAGTTCGGATCCAAAATATGATGGAGGAGTATCTGTGACAGCTTCACAATGACCAAGTAAACCGTCGAATTCCTTTCTCCAGTTTATGGTCGAGGCATTACCATTGAGTTTGGCTTCTGCTAGTTCAATCCAGATGTCCCATTCCCGGAGATTTTGAAAGGTGTTCAAATTGTGAAAGACATCATTGTGGCCTAGTATATGGAGAGCCACTTTCATTGCTAGACCTTCAGTTAGAACAATTTCTGAACAATATGGACTGACTAATGACTTACATGCGGTACCTGTTCGTGACATTCCCAAACTCAGGACTTGCATGGGGACAGTTCTTTTGCACTTGCGTCTATCAATATCCAAATCTCCAGGAAACATTTTAGGGTCGAAGTAAGCCTTCCATTTCGCCGTTTGAGCATCGCTGAATGTCGCCATAATGATGTACCTGAAGGGCTAGAGTGTTTTTCGGGCAAAAGGTTGCCAAAAGATTTATGAGGCCGCTGTTGACGTGTGCTACATAACCTTCGCGGGTTGCAATATTGGTAATTGTCCTGTGTGATGCAGACGATATGAGAGTGAAAAGAAGAAGGCATCCGGGGTAGTACGAGCTGTCCTTACTAGGACAACATGATAGTAGACTGTAAGACATGTGTCTCACCTGTTATTACCGACACTATCATGACTGCTTGCCTTTAGCTGGAATTGAGTCCGAGTTGTTAAACTCTATTTCGTGATAGTCTGGCTTAAACGCGCTACTGGCTTAAGTGAGGTAGGAACTTCGCACTTGCGATCTCATCCTGCAGCTTTATGACTGCCGCTTCAAAATCGAAGTAAGTTGATGGTCAGATTCCACATTTGGTCTTAGGTCTCCGCCATACGATCGCTTTGAGGTTGGACGTCCTGTTTTGTATTCCTCCTTGAACGAGGCTTTGAAATCAGAGACCAATCAGACGAGAACAAACGGACTGGGGATATGGTAGCCAGAGGTGCCATTGTCTTCCCAAGAGTAAAAAGAAGCGATCCACCATACGGTGAAGTGGAATTACATCTCATAAGATACCTTTTCAAGGTTGATTCGCCAAGTATATGTCGTCGAATCCTCAAGAGCCTGCGAAGAGCCATCGCTATTAGCACGTGACTCTAACCCTGGTTTGGCTGACGTGTATTTCTCAGCACGCCTAACGTGCGGCTGGCAAAACATGTCAAACGCTCTCCAACCACAACGTTCCTTCATCAATCAAACATGCCAACCAGATACTGACAACCACACTTGATCTATTTCCTACTACCTGTCGCAGCAGTCTAACGATGGAACTTTCGCGTGAACTACCACATTCACAGTCACAGCCGACGGGCAGTCTTTCGGTATTTGGGTCTTCCCCGCACATGGCGACAGCAGCCTGCTCCGAAGTTACGATCTCACCCAAAATGACGCGGCAGAGGTAGCGACAGGCACGATAGAAGTGGTCAAACCGAAGATGGATGATGGGAAGTTGAATTCCGGGATAGATTGCGCCTCTTCCATATGCCGTTCAGCTATTGCATCTTTCGACTATTCTGAATAAGCGCGAACATTACAATCTTTGTCGTTGATGGTCATGCCAACGCGAGCCCGTATCATCACATCAATAGGGAGGCGTGAGCTTACTCTGCTCGACTGCTTGAAGCTGCAGAGTAACCGGGATGATGGAGGCTCTTGGGGTATCGCTGCACACGAAGACTATCACGTATGAAGTGCTTCTGTTTGTTGATCTATGACAGGGAGATCTGACTCACCGGCTACTATTTACCCTCATTTATGGTTTTGTTATCGCCAGAAAAGTATGAATGTGCCATACTGTTGAAAAATCCTTGAAGCGTATGTTGCGTTGATGGGCGACATCGCGCTGTCTTCACTGGCATCTAGGACGATGCCTTCACCCGATAAATAACGAAGCAGCAGTATGCTTGGAACTACACCCAAGCGCTTGGTCAACGCCAGTTTCGATCTTACAGTCTATTTTATACTCCTACCAAGCCAGCGCTACCCGATGAAGATACTACAATTCCGTGGAAACCATGGTGTTAAAGGTCCCTCTCTTCCATTTATCGTTTGCTTGGCTTTACGATGCTGTGGGGGAGAATTTTACTAGCACACTTCAAATCGCTATCAACTTCACCGTTACCTCATTGTCACCGCCTGGATACGGCGGTCAATGAATCTGTTGCAGACGCACCAGCTTCCCGCAAATCCCGCAGATTGCCCTGCGGACAAGCTGTGTACTTCCTTCACCACTTTCGAGTTGGGGCATCATCAGCACTACAGAGACAGCGACCCAGATTCAATGGAGACATCTGCAGGGCTGCACAAGCACATCTCACGAATGGGCTAGGTATCCGAGTTGACGATCTCACATCTCTTCGTCGCGTTGCCCGGCGATGTATTGAAAAGGGAAGCGGACTTGAACTTCTCTTTGCTATTGCATACCGTAGATAAATTTCGTGTGACTTGAAACCGTAATACACGTCTGGTCGAAGCAGCAGCAACTGTAAGGACGCTTCTGGACAGGAAGAAGGGAAGGTCGCTTCAGGGTGGCTTTCTGGCAGCAAGCGAACTGAGGGACCGGGGTTTTCTGTGCGAAGAGAACAGCCGCATTTCTACGTCGAACTTCAACCCTCACAGCAGCATCGTTGGTTGGATCATCGATGCAGCGGCAGCGGGCCTCATTTCGCATTCTCTTCACGTTGTTCTCTCTTGCGTTGCATTTCTTCATTTCATCTCCATATCTTTGTTCCTGCCAATCGCGAAAAAACCCACCCTAGGCGCGATTACGGAAGCCGAGATGGATTTGAGCACGACCGAACTCGACGACCAGTCTGTCAGGCAATCCCATACATCACCACCTCGACAACCGCATTCGCAGCATGTCGCAATGATCGACAGCTGGAGCAACGGTGACGACCGCAGAGACCGAAGAGGAGTCGATCGAGGAGTTGCACGCTCAAGAACTTCGCGATCGCCTGTTTCGCGTCGCCACGAGAGCGAGAGGGACCCGAAAGAACGGGCACGTAGTCCTGGCAAAACGAGATCAAATTCCCACCACCGCCAGGACAGATCTCGCGACCGCAGTCCCGAACGCAGACGACGACCATCACGATCACCTGGGCCAGACTCACGAGACGCAGCGCGGGAGCGCAATAAAGGCAGAGAGTTGCTTGAACCACGAGGCTCCGACAAGTCAAAACGATCCATCGCCCACCATTCACCATCGTCGAGTAAGAGGCGAAAGTCTCGAAGCCCTTCGCCGGAGCGACTTCACCACAAGAAATCTAGGAGGGAAATAGGTCGAAGCCCATCACGTACAGAAAGAGATTCACTGCGCTCTGACAAGAAGCGACGAACTATTTCCCCTCCTCCCCGAAAGCGATCCAGGGACCGCCGGCCTTTGGAACATCGGTCAGAAGGCAAGTACAAATCTAGGGAGTCAGGCACATTCGAGCGTGATCGGAGGGGGAGGTCTCCAAGTCCCCGGCCAGGTAAACACGATTCTTCTCGTCGCACATCGAGCTCAAGGCACGACAAACTGCCAAGACGTGAACGGTCACCTGTTATTCGATCACAGAAAACAAGAGAACGGTCACCATTTGAAAAATCGAAAGAAAGAGACCGTAGTCGATTGACATCACCTAAGATTGGTCAGAGATCTCCTGATATTGATCGCTACGAACCCTCGAGCCGTTCCCGTCCACGTTCGCCTGCTCATTCCCGTGGCTCAAAATACAGCCGAGGTCGCTCGCCAAGGGCTGGAGAAGATAGATATAAAGGTGATAAATCACGAGACGAGCGGAGTAGGGAGGACAGGCACAAAGACGAAAAACATCGTGGACATAAGTCTAAGGACGATCGGTCTAGAGACGTCCGTTCTCCGAGAGAGGAGAAATCTTCAAGAGACGATCGGCGACCAAGAGACGAGTTCAGGTCCCAAAAACCTCATTTCAAGGACTCAAAGGGCCCGAGGCCACCTACGGCATCTGGAGCAAACAGTATCGAGGTCAAGTCTCGAAAAGCCTCGCCGGCCGCGTCTGGCGCCAATAGTGTTGAGGTCAAGACGGATAAGATGAATAGTAGTAGAGGTTACTATGGTGGCCAGCAAGGTTATAACCCTCATCAACAGATGCAAGCTGCTTTTCCGTTGAAACCTCAGTATGTCCAAAGTCCTCAAGTTGATCCACGGCAATATTCGCAGTCACCTCAGCATCATATGACACCCGGTTCTTATCATGGATCTCCTCAGGCTCAGTCCCCATACGGTGCAGGGAGAGGGTCGTGGAGTGGGCAGCAGCCACAACCTCAATACTCGCCGCAGCCGTAAGTTCATCCTAACGTTCGGCGTGCGGACTTTTCGAGCTAACCTGGGCTACAGGCAATTCCAACAAAACTTCCCGCAGCAAAATCAAGCTAATTTCAACAGTCCCGGTGGGCAGCAAGGGCAGTTCTATAACAATCAGTCTCCACCATACCAGCAAATGGCACCTTCTGGGCCAATGAGTCAGTCTTACCAGCAAAATTTCCGGGGCAATCACAGAGGAAACTACAGAGGCAATAACTTCAACCCGAACATGGTGCGTGGTGGTCGTGGCGGAGGCAGGGGTGGTCATTTCCAGAATCTTCACTGGAGCAGCGCCTCCGGTGGAATGGGCCGAGGGGGCCACAATAACTCAGGATCTGCTACACCACAGCAGACATCCCCTCAACAGCAATTTCCTCCGCAAAATGCTGTTGCTGCACCTACAACTCCTCAACCAAAGCCGCCACCAGAGGAAGATGACAACGAAGATTTGTTTAGACCGTCGAAAGAACTGCAGGTGGAGGAAAAAGTACCTGTTAAAAAAGTTGACGAAGAGAAAATGCCACCGCCAAGTAAATCTACTCCTACTGGGCCCCAGAGCTCCAAATTCAGTTTCACTTTAAAGACAAAGTCAGCATCTAAGCCAACTAACGCCACGACCAAACCCGACATTGCGCAAAAATTGACAGTGGCTCCAGTACGGAAGGATGTGCTGGTAGCAAGCCCTGAGCGATCGCGGCCAGCACGACCAGTTCCCACGGAGCCAGCTTCAGCACGACGACATCATCAACAGCCAGAGTTTCGCGAACCCCCTGCACCAACCAAAAGAATGGTGAAAAAGATCATGAAGCGTCCAAAACCTAGGCCGCAACTTGAGGAAGACTTCAGAAAATCCGACTCTGTATATTACCGGAAGCCTGGTAATGAATCTGTTGTAGGGTCCGGTACATATGGTAAGGTCTTCAAAGGCGTCCATGTCTATACAAAGAACCTTGTTGCTTTGAAAAAGATCCGTATGGAAGGAGAGCGTGATGGATTCCCGGTGACGGCGGTACGCGAGATCAAGTTGCTTCAGTCATTGAAGCATCGGAATATTGTGAAGCTGCACGAGGTCATGGTAGAGAAGAATGACTGTTTCATGGTTTTTGAATATCTCTCCCACGATTTGACGGGTCTTCTCAACCACCCGACATTCAAGCTGGAAGCTGCTCACAAAAAAGATCTGGCAAAACAGCTGTTCGAAGGTCTAGACTATCTCCATAGACGAGGTGTCTTGCATCGCGACATAAAGGCTGCAAATATCCTTGTGAGTGCCGACGGGCAGTTGAAGATTGCTGATTTTGGTCTTGCCCGGTTCTACGCCAAGCGACGGCAGCTCGATTATACGAACCGTGTCATCACTATTTGGTATCGATCACCGGAACTTTTACTTGGTGAGACTCAATATGGGCCCGCGGTCGATATTTGGAGCGCTGCTTGTGTTTTGGTAGAAATATTCACCAAGCACGCCATATTTCCGGGTGACGGTGGAGAGATTAGTCAACTTGAGAAGATATATGCCGTCCTCGGAACCCCCAATAGGGTCGATTGGCCTGGCTTGGTGGATATGGCATGGTTCGAATTGCTTCGTCCGTCCGCTAAACGTCCTAATGTCTTTGCGGAAAAGTATAAGGATCGAGTCACACCCGCGGGGTATGAGCTTCTCGAAGCCATGTTCCAATATGACCCCGCTAAGCGCCCATCTGCATCCGACGTCCTCGAGCATCCGTACTTTACCGTGGAAGAGCCAAAGCCAAGACAGGTTATTGAGTAAGTACCCACGCATAGATTTCTGTTCTTACATGACTAACGTAATATAGACTTGCTTCGTTAGAAGGCGACTGGCACGAGTTCGAATCAAAGGCTTTACGGAAAGAAAACGAACGAAAAGATAAAGAGGCGAAGCAAGCAGCTCGAAAAGAAGCTGCAGAGAAGGAGAAAGAAAAGAAGCGAGCACCAGAGGGTGAGGCTGCCGATCGTGAAGCCAAACGCCAGCAAGTGGCACCACCCAGCCAGCCGACTTCCAAAGACGGGCCATAGTAAGCCTTTGTCGCAACCCATGTAAAAGTAAAGGATATGAGAATATGCATGCCAACAGTGCAATTTTCTGCAAGATGTAATCTGATGAAGCTAAGAAATGAGGTCAAGGACCCTCTAATTAACCATGAAGGGTTTTCACCAAGAGATGCAATATCAGATGGGTTTGCCATGTTGCTGCGGGGTAATGTTTTGGCATTTATCATTTTACGGTGATTGGAACTGTGTATGATAGATTTAATCTACCTCCTAGAAGGGACGGAAGTGCCTTTCGCCTGAAGGAGATAGTCAAAATTTACGAGCATGTGTATGATGATCATGAGCTGTTTATACAATGTGTAATTGGCTGAAGACGTGAGACGAGGATGGTGTATTAATAACCTCATATTCCGTATATACGTAGCTTCATAAATAAGGACATACAATCGAGTTTTCCGCTCGTTACCACTCACATGTCCTGTGGTGTAATACTTGAAACCAAACACCATACGCCTTTAACCCCCAACCCCTACCGTAACCTACCCAACAAGTACAAAAACATCTAAGCACCACTCCTATAAACCTGCGCACCTTGGTTACGGATAGTAACCGTATCCCTCCTCTCCAAAATCGTAATCGCCCTCACAAGGGCCTGTTCACTGAACCCCTTCCCTTCAACCATCTCCCTCTTCAGTGTCGCCAGACTAGTACTCCAGCCAATCGGCAATCGTCTCTTAAGTTCATCCTCAAGCTTATTCACTTCTTCATTCAATTCCTTGCTTCCTTGCGTGGAACCCATGGTTACTGCGTCCATGGTAGAGGCGAGAAAGAGTCGGATGGCTTCGTCGACGTGAGAGACGTCTGCGATGGGGGAGAGGGAGAGCTTGGCGAGCGATTCGGTGATGCGGATGATGGCTTCAAGTTGACGGACTGTGATGGGGATGGATGAGCGTGCGTTAGCTTCGAGCTCGGCGGCGTGGACTTGTTTGCGGATGGAGACGAAGTGAGAGGAGAGTTTTTCGCTGGCTTCAGGAGAGAGGCGTGGTGCCATTCGTCTGGTTATGGTTAGATATGTAGTTGGGAGATGATGATTGGGGACTTACGATCTGCAGTAGCTGATGTATCGCTTCATTTTATCGACTGAGATTTCTGACTCGGCTTGCTCTTCAACACCATGCCCTCCTTTATGAATGGCCATGACGTGCTTAGCGATGGTCTCGTCTCGAGCGCGGTTGTGGTCATCTTTGACAATGAAGATCATATCGAATCTGGAAAGAATGGTTGTTTGGAAATCGATATTCTCTCCCGGCGTCTTCAAATCATCATAACGGCCGAAAATGGGATTGGCTGCAGCAAGAACTGACGTCCGGGAGTTCAGAATTGTGGTAATACCAGCTTTGGCAATCGAGATCGTTTGTTGTTCCATAGCCTCGTGGATCGCAACTCTGTCTTCGTCTCTCATCTTGTCGAACTCATCGATACAAACAACACCTCCGTCAGCCAAAACCATTGCACCACCTTCCAGATAGAATTCTCGTGTTGTGTGATCTCTTTGAACAGAAGCAGTCAAACCGGCGGCTGAAGAACCCTTTCCAGAAGTGTAAATAGCGATTGGCGAGACCTTTTCGACGAATTTTAACAATTGAGATTTCGCAGTACCCGGATCACCCAGAAGCAGTACGTTGATATCTCCACGCAGCTTCATCCCATCTGGTAGGATCTTCTTTGACCCGCCCATCAATAAGCATGCGATTGCTTTCTTAATATCGTCATTCCCATAAATGGATGGTGCTATGCACTTTGCAAAGACTTGGTAAAGATCTGGTCTACGGCTCATTTCCAAAAACTCCTGTTCTTCCTCCTCCGAGAAAATCGCATTTCCTTTTGCGGTATGGTCGACATCACTGTGAATCCCTACGGCTCGTAAATATGGTGTCCTAATCGCAACAGCTGAAGTAGATGAAGATCCTTTCGATTGTTTATTCTGGTAAATGGAGAAGATGCCATGCACTGTACATCTGGTTCCAGGAACCACTCTGTTTGTCAAATAACGGTCTGTCGAGATAAGCACATGTCGAGGAAGCTCTCCAACGGGTACCTGATCAGGAGCTTCCTGTAACTTAATAATCTGCTGATCAACGAATTGACTGCTCTCGTGGATAACAACGTATGGATCCATAGGACATCCGTCTTCTCCAGGCATTTTTGGCCTGTCACAAATGCGTGGAAGAGATACACCACTGAAACCACCAGCCACAGGTAAAATCTTCGTCTGGCGACAATTTCGGCATTGTATATGGAGAGCGGTTGCTTTTGATGATAACACGGAAGCACCAATGACGATCCCGGGGACTCGTACGAGACGTGAAATTTTGAGAGCATCAAGATCTCGTATTGAAGTAGGCTCAGCTGAGGAGTGGAGGAGGAGTTGGTGTTCTGGAATTGTAATATCTTTCGTTGAGGGGTAAACGATTCGGTGTGTACATTTCTTTAGTGCGGCTTCGAACTGTAGACAGTCAGTTTCTGTGCGTAATACAAACAATCTATAATTACCAGAGGAATAATCTCCGCAGGTTCTGTCGTAAGTCGATGTGCCAGTTCCTCGTTAAAGGAGATAAGATGTCCGACATCTACGTCGCAATAGTACTGTTTAAGCAGCACATTCTCTCGAATTTGATCTCTATACCATATCAGTATCAATCCCTTCAAACAACCATCATCGTCCAAAGCGCATACCTGTAAATAAAAGCATTATCAAGTCGAAACTGCAAAATAAACTGTTCAAGCTGTGCCTGCACCTGCCCCCTGGTATCCTGCTCATTATCATAGTCTGGCGGCAGAACGCTAAGAGAATAAACAGATTGTCGATCCATGATTTCTGTATTCGCGATTCTGTGCTGCGGTGGTGCAAAATGAAGGTATTGATCCAAATCTGTCAAGCGGCAAAGGGGTTCAAAGTCGCGACGCGTAGAAATTCGCGAAGCTGCAAGCACTTTACGCGTGGAGGGGAAACCGGAATTATGTTATTCCGTGCTACCCCAAACTTTCCGACGGCCTGCCAAAACTCAGGTGAGGGCGACGAGGTAACTTTAATGCTTCTCCACCACAAATCGCAAATAGAATTTCGTGGGCGAATATAATACTCGTCTCCCGTACAGATTAACTTCGGGCGCCGTTCATCTCAAGATGTCCCTCCAAGGATACGTAAACCGTAAGTCGAACCCAACATCTCCCCCTTCTATACCACAGTGCGCTAGACAAAGCTTACAACCTGGGTTCTGACAGACGGGTAGGGAAGGTGTTGGTTTTGACTAGTGACTCGAGAACATTGGTGGGCACTTTACTGAGTTGCGACCAGATGACGAATTTGGTATTTGTTTCCTCTTCCAATACTTGTTTCCTATCCGCATAACTCATACTTTGATAGGTGCTCTCCGAAACAACAGAACGCATTATCAGACCTCCAGATGACCCCGAAGCGTCGAGCGAGATTCCTCATGGGTTGTACTTGATAAGAGGGGACAATGTGGTGGTTGTTGGGCTGGTGGATGTGGAAATGGATGCGAGTATTAATTGGTTGGAAGTTAGGGGGAGTGTTATTGGGGGAGTGAAACATTCGTGATGAACATTTGGTCGGTGGGAAAGAAGCTAAGGAGGATACCAAGAGAAAGGTGGTTGAAGTTGGCGCATGTACGGCGAATATGAGTGGATGTTGATGAGTGATGACAGCAAGCATTGATGGCGTTTGGATAGGATGTGATTCGTGGCTCTGCTCTGAGCCGAGTCTCTGTCGTTTGACGGGATAGATGGCATGCTATGGTTTCTTTGGTCGATGGAAAAGCATGTATGCACCATGAGTTATGAGATTTTACTTCGAACTTTCGTAGAAAAGACATCTCCATACCACAGGGATATGTTCTGAGCATAAGAGTCTTGGGCTTGTGCGCTTATGACTGTGATATTTGATATTTGATATGATATGTTTATGTCCTCAGCTATCCGTACGGTGTACGCATCTGCCCTCTGTCTACGCTACAAGCGAGCATGCCCATCAAATTTCTAACTCTTCGATCTATAATCCCATGATAATGATAATTCCCATATTTAAGTGAACGACACAGGCATAAAGATATTCCACCACTCTAGCCAAAGAGTCGCTCAATAATATATGGTCCAAAAGCGTCCTCTCCAGGGCTACTAATCATTCTGTTAATTCTGTTGCCCCTGTTGTACTGAAGCCAGCTCCCGTTGTCTCCAGGAGGATCGGCATGAGTTTCCTCCCCAACGTCCATGCCTTGGTCCGAAACTGTAACGTTCAAGCTCTCCATCGGGTTAACGATATCGACAGCGCCAGGGCTTTTCACTTGCTCCTCGGGCCTTCCAGCCTTTTTGCGCTGTCTTCTGTCAACAACATGCATTCCCCTTGTCCATTGGCCAGCGGTCTCGACTCGAATGTCCTCTGGAGCCTTTGGTGCAAGCATCCATTGAGGTGCGTTTCTGGTCAACATATACCATATGCACAAAGGATCATGAAGTTCAAGGCCAGGGTTCTCTTGCTTCCTTGTCAGAGACTCTATCTTCTCCAGAGTCTTAAGTACGAACACCGAGGTCCACTGCGCTAATGGACTGCCAGCCTCGATCAATGGATCGACTTTTTGCTTGAATTCAAGCCTGCGAAGAAGGTGTGGAGATGTGACATCCAGTGGAAATAAGGTGAGGTTCAACGTCCTAGATAATTTCTTTGGATAAGTTGGTAGACTGGACATCTTCAACGGCGGCGGTGGCATCGTTGAAGAGGGTGTTGGAGAGGTCAGAGCGAAAACGCGAGCAGTTGCGACAGCATCAGCATATGTGTTGAACTCAGCTACTGGAGTGATATTGCCTTCAACATCAATAGCGCCGCCCATCACACAGACTTCTTTAACTTTTAAGAAGGTCTCTGGGTCCTCTGCCGCTGCGAGTGCCAAGTTCGTAAGAGGGCCAACTGCTACAATGGTGATTGTATCAGGAGGGTTCTCCCGAAGCAAACGGAGAATCTCTTGGTGAGCCGGAGCTTTAGATGCTCGGAAAGATTTGGAAGAGACAATAGACTCTTCGGACTCGCCCTCGAACAAATGCTTCCAAGCATCTGCAGGAGTTAGGTGGGGATGCTATATTGTGTTAGCAGGAAACATTTCGATTCGTTCAAGCCCCAACAATCTCGCTTGACGCCACTAAGCAAACGTTCAGATGAGGATGCATTTCCGTACGTAGCTGCATAAAAACGTGGCTTTAGGCACACTGCAGAAGTAATGTTTGCCCAAATCGTGCGTGGCAAGGGTCGAGCATCTCGGTTCAGTCCAGTATATATCAAATCAACTTACAGAAGTGTGAGTACCAGCAAGACCATCTATTCCGTCTATGTGTTACGTTAGCATCTGCTCAACTATTGTTTGTCCGCCGATTTCTTACGGAAATAATCTGCCATGAGCATTTCATCTTCCAACGGATGAGTTGCTCCAACAGCGACCAAAGGCTTAGAGCTAAGCATTGCCCCAAAGCCTTCAAGTTGACCACGGGACTTTCTCCATTCTATCTCCTTTTCAATGATATGGAAGAGCGTAATCACGTTCTTCAGGCACTTATCAGCTTCCACGTTCCCATAAGTAACGGAAAGCAGAAGAATTTCTAGCTCCTCTGGCTTTGCAGCCAAAGCTAGCAAGATAGCCAGAATATCATCGACACCTAATCAAATATTAGCCCGATATCGAGGGACGGTCCAGCTAACAAAAATGTGACAAACCTGGATCAGTATCGATGATAATGCGATTTAGCGGTGCAGCCATGTTCACGGTACTCGAATACAGTTAACAAATATATGGAAGGAAAGCAAAGCCAAAGACAAAGACAGAAGTTAGAAACAAGTAGGAAAGTCTGTACTATTATTCTCTTTTGTACGGCACACTCCGGTGTGAATAATGTGTTTTCGGGAGGCTCCAACGCCTTTCTTGCGACAAGAAGGAATTCATCCCACCATAAGTCACCAACCGAGCGGGGCACTATTCGAAGATGCCTTCCCCTTTGGGATTCACAAATCGGCACGGAGTCAGGTGCCCAGGCCTCCGATTGACCGGTCGCATTTAGTGCTAGAGCACAGGCCAACGATTCTACAATACGACACCTCTCGAACTTGGACGTGTCCTCAACCAAAGGGGTATCGCAACCGCACACATTACAGTCACTTCCTAATTCAACAGCCGCTTTTCTCTTCCTCAACATATTGCTGCTTCATCTTTAATTCGGCTTCCATTTAAGACGGCGGGGCTCGATTTGAGCATCTTTCGCTCTCTTTGTCGAGGTACATTTCGTCATCTTACGTCGGCAACATGGCGATTCTAAGCACACTCTCTGGCTGGGTCGCAGTCATCGCACTCGGAGGAGGCTACTATTACTATGTAAAGGAGAAGAAATCGCCGGTGACCGCGGCGAAACAAGCGATCAATGCCATTGATACGAAGGAGTCGAAACCGAAGAAAGCTCCAGCGAAGTCGGAAAAGGCTGCCAAAAAGAAGACGCAGCAACCTGCCTCTAAAAACGAGAAAGAAGCAGACCAGGGCTTCAGTACCGCAGTTTCCAATGATCGCGATGATGAGGTCGACAACAAAGAGTTTGCTCGACAAATTTCTAACATCAAATCTGGCCATGTTCCAACCAGCAAAGCCAAAACCGAGAAGAAGCAGAAATCAGTCAAGCAGTCAAAGGCGCAGGAGAGTAAGACTGCCGCTGAAAGCTCTGATAATGCTGATGTCCCATCTTCCGCTACAGGAGGTGACGCTGATGACGACGAATCATCAGTAAATTCCCCTGAGCTCAAGGCCAGCGCTGACACCACGCCCGTCACGGTAATTCATGACATTCTCCCAATTCATTTCGTCTTACTGACCTTTACCGATTTAGAGCGGCGGCGTCTCTGATATGCTCGAAGCACCATCTTCGGGACCATCGGTCTTGAAAATCACCGAATCTACGAACCCAGCTAAGCCGAAGAAATCCAAGCCTCAAACCTTTGAGGCTGTCGAGTCGAAGAAGGCGCGACAAAATCGCAAGAAAGCAGAGGCTGCAAAGGAGGCCCGAGCAGACGAGGAGAAAGCGAGAAAGGTACTTGAAGAAAAGCAGCGAAGGACCGCGAGGGAAGCTGAAGGCCGCGCCGCCAAGGATGGAAGCGTTTTCATGGCCTCCAAGGCCCCTTCTCAGTCTGCTTGGGTTCCTCCAGCCACCACTCCTGAAGTCAGCGGTACCACCAAGGGTGCCAATGGCACCAACCCAGCCGACACACATATCCAACTCTTGGATACATATGAGGCTCCATCCAAGAACGCCGAGACATCATCCCAAGGTCAGACAAAAGGCGGCGAGTGGCAAAAGACATTACCTTCCGAAGAGGAACAAGTTCGCATTGCCATTGAAGAGTCCGACGAGTGGCAAACCGTCAAGGGAAAGAAACAGCAAGAGAAGCGGAAGGCGGCAGCACCAGCACCCGTTGAGCCAGTTGCGCCAGCCAAGGAGAAGGCTGATTTCAGCACCGTAGCTGCCAGCGAACCCACTGATGCTGGTCAGAAGTGGAAGAACACGAGCTCGCACACCAGCAATGGTGTTGCCGATGAGAAAGAGGAGGACTTCGAAGATTCCGAATGGGAAGTTGCGTAGGAGAAGCAACATGGTGAAATTTGATGTTCCGGCGAGCGTATAGACGAGCGGTTCTACCAAAACCGCCTCCTATCCGCCCGAGAACATCGCCCTACTTTGCTCGATTGTACATGAACACCTTTGCGCTATATTTCCGCCGCCATTTTCCGGCTTTGTACCACTGCATACAGACACTTGGGATGTGTTTGAGAGGCATAATTTGCATAAGCCAGCAATAGTGTATTCCAATTTTGCTTTGGGCCAGGCGTTCAATTTGTCTCTCACTATGAAAGTGCAAAACAATGGGATCTAAAACTGCTGGGGTTTGGGCCGTCTCTTTTCAGGAACTTCGAAATCTTTGTACCACATGCAGCATACTACTAGTCTTGGACGCTATGTTCTATGCGACTCTTTCGTATTTAGGTGCTTTGTTATCTAGTAGTTCCGTCTTTTATGACCTCCTACTACTTTCCTGGCAATGTCAGAAGTACTTGATATATAGTTGATACAATTGAGGCATTTATCTTCCTTGACTCGAGCTTACTTACTTTGGAAACTACTTGATCTTTTAATTTGATACAAACCTTGGCCAACCAGATGTTACCCCGCAATCCCGTGCTCGTCTGTTGAAATCCATCGGACTTTATTCCCCGGTGCCATGGGTACGATGAGGAGATCTGGTATCTTAGTAGCACGGCAGGATCTTTGTGATCAAGGTCCGGATGGGAAATAATTCAACAATCGAATAACAAAAAAGGCGCCAATAATCAAGTAGCTTAACTTATACAAAGTAAGAAAAGTATCGCTTAAGTTGTACTAAACACTCGTATTCCAGCCCTTGACCCTTTGACGATCTGGCTTCACCCACACCCCTCTTCCGCTATTGCGGACCCCCACGCGCGTTGTCGGGGTACGGATCTTGACCTGCATTTGGACTCCGCCATCACTAACAGGCTGACAGTTTGCAGTCGACGATCCAATTGGGAAGGCAGCTGCAGAACGAGACGATGAAACAAATCCGTCCAGACCGGTTTTGCGTTTCGTTGTCCCCTTCCTGAATGCCTTCATTTGAAGATATCTATTTCATTGCCTTCGTTATCGGCCCCACATTCTTCAACTTCTGCATCTCGAGAGTGGAATGCGCATGTTTGGCCAAGTAGCGTTGAAACTACACGATTGTCCCACCCCTTAGTGTCCACCAGAGCACGTCGCCGCCAACAAGAGGGGCCAACAACCACCTTCCGACTTGTCCCTTATATCTTTATCCCGCAATTGTAGAAACGAGACGGATTGTCCTTGCGATTCGATGCGAAAGAATCACACTCAAGAAGGACAAGACTTTTATATTTTCGCCGATTACTATATCCGGTGTTGCGCGGATTTACTGGGACGATTCGTGGACGATTGAGGTGTCTACTGGATGTCAAAGGGAATTGACTGCTTTATCTCGGAACATTGAAAACAACCACCCAGCTGCGACAATATCTTGTAATCACACCCATTGCGACTCGTAAGACGATCTTATATTGGCCGTCGAAATCAGGATCAAGGAATAGCGAGGACGTGGCGAGCTGCAGACTCCTGCGAATCCAGTCCGCCCAAGAAGTGTCCCGGATAGAAGCCACTCACCACAAACAGGCTCAGAACTGCTCGAATTGCACCTCATGCATTCATAACATTCGGAGCATTCACCCCCCGCCTACAGTCTTTTCCTCCGAACAAACTTGCTCTCAAGATGTCGCTCGATGTTGCTATTCAGTCGGTCGCGTTCTACATCCTATCTTGCAGCACATGTTCAAAGATCAGCCACAGGAGGAAAGCCAAGGTACAGGCGAAGAAAGAGAGGGCGGAGAAGCAAGCGCTAGAAACGGAACAGCCGGGGCTATACAGACATCCGTCACCATTTTCTACGAATCCATACTGGACGGAGGAGATAATGATGGGGCCAGGGCTGCCGAAGAAGAAAGGAGGGGACAAAAATGCATGCAAGAACTCAAGTCAGAGGGCTTTAAATACGGCAGGTCAAGGGAGCAGTTATGCTGGAAGTACGGGAATGAGTACAGAGGCGCCGAGTAGTCCTACGGCGGCAACGGAAGGTTCTCGTTTGTCCGGAGAGGGGTGGAATAGGAAGAGGTATCAGAGAGAGGACGAGGCGTTATGGGGGATTGATTTTCAAGGCTCGGGCCAGAAGATAAAGGAAGCTATTGCCAAAGCCGGAGAATCAGCGAATCGATTTGTTGGTGGACGATTGAACAAGAGTGGATCAATAAAGGAGGACTCGGAATTTGAAGAGGACTCTGCGCCTTATTATATCACTTCGAGGAATCCGCCAGTCAACGACTTACATCCACCTGTGGTGAGCACGCAGCCACTGAGTAAAGACGAGACAAGGTGGATGTTACAACCACCTCCTTCTGCGAAAGTCATGGAAGGCAAGGTTAGAGTCAACAGTGGTCGAAGTAGGACCAACAGTGACGGAAGCACAATCAAAAACACACTTAGTCGTCAAATCACCGACAAGACACTGGATTCAAAATCCCAACGCGCAGACACCCCTTCATCAAGAGGTACATCCCGAGGCACCTCCCGCGCCGAATCCCGCAAGAAAACCAAAGTCTCCCGTCCAAGAATTCAACGTCACGACAGTATGGACAGCATCTCCTCGCCCTCCTCCTCACCCACGCCCCGGAAGAAGAAACCAACACCCCTCTCCATCCCTCGTCCAGTCACCCAGGATTTCGCCGAGCATATACCCGTACCAGCACCCGTCGCGACAACTGAAATGCGCGAACGGAATGCCAGACCACTGCTTACTACGATTGTTAGTTCGAGTATGGTGGTGCCGAAGGTGCAGAATGAGAGTGGAGATGAGAATCTTTCTTTGAGAGAATTTTCGCAAATGGAGAGTGCGAAGGAGAGGACGTCGTCGCCCAGTCTGAGGGTCGACATTGGGGAGAAGAGGGGAAGGGAGATGACGGGTCTTTCGGGGTCGTCGGGGAATGTTGTTGTGCAGTGAGATGAGGGGTGAGTTTTGGATATCGACTTCGGATGCGAAGACAGCACTATCGACTTGAGAGCGATAAACATACACTTTCTTGTACGGTCACCCATATTCGCATCCACCTTCTTTCCTTCATCATAACATTACATTTTCATCACGGGTTCGGCGTTTGTAGCGTAGCGTTTGCATGGTGTTTGGAGCTTCCTACCAGTACTGGCTCTTTCTTTTTTGGGCATATTTCTTGGGATTGCACAGCACACACAGGTTTTGATGGGAAGACATTACGTTCCCTTTTCGTTTGTTGGGGGATTTCTTGGATTGGAAATGGGTAGGGTATTTTGGGAAAAGCATGGGATCGGGTTTGGTGCATGGAACGGTTTTGGGGTGAAGTACACAGGGTGTTGAAATTGAGAAAGCGCGAATTACGTGCGTGGTACATAGATATGAATTGGAAGATATTCAAAGTGATTTGGGTTGTGAGATTGTGTTTTATTACGTTGCGTGTGATATCGTACAATTGTCTATCTCCGACTCTCCAACAAGTGCTGATGCTAAGGTTACCTTATACATGAAGTCGCTTTGGAGCATTGAAAACTACGTACGTACCTAGGTAATATATCCAGGATCTTAAGCGATGTTGAAATAGCATAGTTCAAGTTGATGCAGGCTATGTAGATGCGTAAATCAACCTTTTACTATCGTCTCTCTCCTTCTGCGTATACCGGCTGCCAGATACTGTTAATTGTTGGAGATAACCTGGTTAATGTTCTTGCTGGAACATAATGACATGATAACATAATTCCAATATCAAAGTTATAACCTCTAAAATAATACACATATCCAAGACATCGAATCAAGCCACCCTTGGCGGCACATTCGGTCTCGTCCCCTCCCTCATCCGTCCCACAAACCCCAGATTCCTCCTCCTCTCCTCCTCCTCCTCCACCAACCTCCTCCTTTTCCTCTTCAACATCTCACAAAACGGAATCCCAACCGCATACCCGCCCAAATGCGCCGTGTGATCCAGACGCTGCATCCCGGTCTTCAAACTGCGTTTCATTCCTAAGAGCTCGATGAAAATACTGAATCCCAAGAAGCCTAGACACGTCAAAGCCGGCCAATTTTCTGGCGGGAACCCGAAAAATGTGATTTTAGCACCGGAATCCAGGGTGAGGTATGTGCCCATCATACCGCACAGCGCGCCGGACGCGCCTAGGGAGGCGGATATGAAGGATTTCCGCAGCACGAACCAGACGAGGGAGACGTAGCTGCCGAAGACGCCGGCGGAGAGGTAGAGCGCGAGGAAGTTTGCGCGGCCGATCTCGTCGTGGAGACGCGTGCCGACGACCCAGAGGAGCGCCATGTTGCAGGCGAAGTGGGAGACGGATTGGTGGGAGAAGGTGTTGCCGAGGAGGGAGAGGGCGCGGGGGGCCGCGGAGATGGTGATGAAGTAGGTGTTGAAGAGGCGGTAGAGGGGTGGGAAACGCCAGGCTACGAGGATGGCGGCGTTGATGGCGATGATGGTTATGGCTGTTGCGGCGGAGGGGGGCATGTCGGGGAAGATGCGCGCGGAGGCCTTGGGGGGGACGTAGAGTTGCGTGAGGAGGTAGCAGCCGGTGAAGGTGGCTATGACCATGAGGGTGGAGGGCCAGAGTCGCTGGAAGGAGGTCATTTCTGGGATTCCATTGGGAAGGATGTTTGCTGAGTCTTTGTACTTAAGGTAGAGCGGGTTGTTGTATGGATCTAATTTTCGTAGAACCACCCGTGATTTGGGTGTCGTAGTCTGTAAAGTTCCAGTATTCTGTTGTATTTCCTCTGCTTGACTCTTTTCCCGAGCTTCTTCTTCAAGTCGCTTCTTCCTGTTAGCTTCTTTTAATTCCACGAGCACGCTCTTTTCTTCTCGGCTTTCCCAGGCTCCTCCGGAGTTAGGCTTGTAGAGACCTATCCTCTCACTATCAGCGACGATATCCGCCTCCATGGCCCGGAGCTCATCTTCCGCTCTCTGTCCAGCATTTTCAATCTCATTTACAGGCACATGCTTCCTTAACCATTGAAGCCCGAGTTGAACTGCGCTTCTCTCGTATTTGTTGACAGTGCTTCTCGCGGCAGGATCTTCCAGAATTCCTGCGACTCGTTGTCCATGGAGAACTCGTAGGATGTGGTTTGCTACCTGCGCATTTATTTTACTACCGAATATCGTTCGAGCCTCATTCGCTGATAGAGGTTTTAATCTGAAGGGCAATCCTTCTTCTGCGACAAAGTCTTCCGGTAGTTGTTCATATTTTGTAAGAATGCGCTTCGAGCTTAACGTCCGAATTTCGATTCGATGTCCTATAGGCTTTTGCGCCGCCCTCCCTCCTTGAATTGATTTCTGCCACGCTGGTATATTTCTAAGAGGTTGAGAAGAACATATCGAAAAGGAGCGAATTGAACTCTGTACAAGCCTTGCAGCGAGGCTATTGACCTTGAAACATGGTTGGAGAATGGTTCGAGTATTGAGACATGATGCTCTAGATATTGGCTGCCAAATGCTGGTCATATCGTCGATCGTTACCGTATCATATTCGCAAAGTGAAATAAAGCAGCAGTATCGTTAAATTAAGCGCAGGTAAGGAAAAGAATGATAATCGATGAATTCCGCTACGTCGACAAAAGAGCTCCTCGAATTCGAGATGTCAAGACGACGAAGACGTCAAGAAATTATGTGCACGGCCCTCATCTTCTTCCCGTCAACCCCGCCAAATCGCGTCCGCGTCCACCTTGACAGCCTGAAGTTCCCTCGCCCGCTACAAAACATCAGATTCTATAAACTTCATGTCTCTTATCGAAAACCTCAAACTACAGACTTCGTGCCCTCAAAATGTCCTCTGAAGCTACTCCTATAAACCCCGCTCGCTTTGCAGAAGCTTTAAAAGACTTGCCTCTCGAAACCCTCCATTTCAAAGGCGCAGAAATCCGCAACTCGATCGCCCATCTGGACTACAGCAACGAACAACTAAAACCTTTCGCTGAAGGTACAGATCCTTCATGTAATGGCACACCCGATCAGGATTGTCTAGATGCGATTCGGGAGAATGAGATTGTGATTGGGAGGATGCAGGAGAGGATTGCGCTACTGAGAGCAGAGGTGGAGGGGAGAGGAAGTAGTTGGTTGGAGTTTGTCAGTACTGAGGAGTTGGCCGAGAATAGTGAGAAGATCGAGGGCGACAGGGAGCTGGTTAATGGTACAGGACAAGGAAGTGGTGAAGAAGGAAGGAGTAACCCTTGGAGTGATGGGACATTTCAGACTGGGAGGATAGTTAATGGGGATGTGGTTATGGATGGACAACCGAATGGCGTGGCGAACGGGACGACGACGGGAACTTCGACTGGAGGAGCAGTAATGACAAACGGCACTGGTGGCAGGATGGATGATGAAGCATTGCGGAGAGCGATGGAAGAAAGAATGAGAGAGATGGCTGCGGATGATGAAGATGGCATGCACTTATAAACTTGACTTTGCTTTCGATATTCAAAAACTTGCGAACCGAAGAAGCAACGACATAGCGGGATTCGATGTCTGAAGCATGAACAATTGCAAATGCAGAATACGTGATTACTGTCGTGCTCTGTCCAGGTCGAGCTCTACAGTTTGGAAACTCTGTGCTCTATTTCAATATCCAGGAGCAAGAGCAGAGTTGTACGAACTTCGAGTGATGGAATTACAGCCAGGTATTTCCACCGAAAGCAAGTGGTGGCGCTTTTCAAAAGCTTTCCCCCAAGAGGGAACTATTTCACAAAGCTCTACACTACTCAGTTACCATACATTCGCACAAGAATACGCTGATGCGCGGGAATTACAACTTGGGCTTGAGGCAGACAACCTAGTAGATTCTATCACATCAGAAGATAGAATATACTTGCATCCTCTTCTTCAACAAGGTAGCAATAAAGCACCCCAGTACAATGATAAACGCACCCTGATATCACATGTCTGACGAGTACATGCATACAACATTTCAGCTTCAGTTTCAGCTTGTTGGAACATTCTATCCAATGGACTCGGATCTCGTACAAGCTGAGCTGATCCGCCATGCAACGAAGTAACCGTAAGCCTTGGGTTTCTTAGGTTACGCGTTGCCACGCAGTGTTACTTGTCTTAGGCAAGGGATGGCCATTTCATGTGCTACATTTAGCTTAGTTGTACAATGTTGGTAACCAGAGTTGATATATGGGACACAAACACTTTATATCAAAAACAGTGCATTCATTTATGTTTCATGTTTCCTAAACAAACACACAGGGTTTACAATACTTTGTCTCCATGATTATTAAATTTAAGGTCCATCGATCGGCTGCCTAGCTGCATGAATGGAGACATCAAGGGTCCATACATCCATGAACATATTATTATTGCAACCACTTAAAATACAGCAATTTACTAGCTAACATCGCAACACCACAGGCACCGCGGCGCCCGTACACATTTTGGTTACTTTGTCTTGGCTGGTCTTGGCTGACAACCAACCTTGGTTTGCGCAATTGAGCTATGCCGCTTATCCAGTCGTGAAGTCATTAGGGTGTCCCTG